GTCCCCACAGAGGGCCACCTCGGAGGATCACCACAGAGGGTCACCTCAGAAGGTCACATTTGAGCACATTTGTTGTTCAGCATGGCCTGTTGAGAGGGTCACCAAGAAAGGTCACCACAGAGGGCCACCAAGGAGGGCCACCAAGGAGGGTCACCTCAAAGGGTCACCTCGGAGAGTCACCACAGTGGGTCACCACAGAAGGCCATCTCAGAGGGTCACCTCAGAGCACACTGGCTATTCAGCATGGCCTCTGTTGGCTGTTTGCACAGGTCAGGGCTCAGTGACAAGCCTGTGTGCCATGGAGCCCTGGGATGCCCACTCAGGGGTCTGACCCCTGGAGACCTCGCAGCTGCCTGGGTGAATTCCTGCACATGGCACCTGGGTCCCACCACCCTCCAGTGTTACCCCTTCTCACCAGCCCCACCCTTGTCCAATCAAGTGGATCCATGCCTGCCTGGGAGGTGAAGGGGGCAGCTCTGTGCCCAGGGGAAGGGCCAGCCTAAGAGCTGCTCTGCCCCCCAACAGTGCCCCACACACTGTGCAGAGGTGGGGGGTCATCTGTTTCTAGGGCTGGTCAGTGCCATGCCCCACCCCCTGCATCTACTGAACACCTGCAGCAGGAACAGACACCTGGCAGGGACCCGGGTGGCTGGTGTTTGTGGCCGAGGTGGGAGACCCCGACGCCTGGGACTCTTGTGAGGGGAAGCCCCATGGCCAAGGCCACACACTGCTTGGACAGGAGGTGGGGGCGACTGCTGCCCACCAACCCACTGCAGTGAACCTCGGAGTCACTGGGCCCTCTGAGCCTGTGCTAGCTCTCGGATGGGACCCCAAGGTCACATCTCCCAGGAACCAGCTCCCCCACGTGACGGGTGGGGGAGCAGGAACTGCTCACCCCATACCTCCCCAGGGCCCTTACTCTGGGGTTGGGCAACCACGAGGCTTCTGGGGCAGCGTAGCTGCAGCCATCGAGCAAGGCAGCGGAGGAGCAGGCAGAAATGGCCAGCTGGCTTTCTGAGGCCTCTCTGCCCCAGCCGTGTCCCAGATCTGCCAGCCAGGCGCCTGGCCCCTTAGGGGCTGCTCCGTGCCAGGCCCCAGAGAGGATCCCTGCAGGGGCTCCCAGGGGTGAGGATGGGGCTGGTGTCAGCCTCAACTTGGTACCCAGGGTTGAGCACCCACAGGGTGAGGTCTGGAGCTCTGGTGGCACAGCGCCTAAGGCATCTGACTGCTAACCAGAAGGCTGGCAGTTCAAACCCACCAGTCACTCCTCAGAAGGAAGGATGGGCAATCTATTTCCGTAGAGATACGGCCTCGGAAACACAAGGGGGGGTCGCTATGAGTCAGAAGTGACTCGACGGCAGTGAGTTTGGGTTTTTGATTCGGGGAAGGCAGGTCCAGATGAGGGGCTGGAGAACCAGTCCCTGGCCCCAGGAGCCTGCCATCCAGGGGCCAAGTGGGCCTGGGCGCTGCCAGAAGGCAGGGCTGAGATGTGCTGGGCCCTGAGAGGCAGCTTCCTGGTGTGGCTGGGACAGTTCCCGTTTTAAAACAAGGCCCCTCCCAGCAGGAGAAACCCTAGGGAAAGCAGATCCGCGCACAGGCCACAAGGGCTGGGGGTGGGGCCCGGAGCCAGGGTCTCACAGAGCTTGGAGGGGGCTGGGCCCCTACGTAGGCCCCAGGGAAGGACACTTGGCAGCAGGTGGGCGAGGAAGGGAGGAAGGGTGTCCCCAGGAACCAAGAATGGTCTCAGTGCCATTTTCTGGGAGGGGCCTAAAGCCTCTCAGAGGTCTCTCATCAATGACACACGAAGCTGGGCCCTCTTCAAGGGGGGCCTCTGGTTTGCACGGGGGGGGGGGGCTTCACTGGCTTTGTTTCCCATGCACAGTGGTCTCTGCACAGGGAGGGAGGGGGCTGGGGGCTGTGACTCCCCAGCTTGGAAGGCTGCCTGCCAGCCAGGATAATGGAGTGACCCAGGCCACGAGCCCAGCTAGTGTCGGAGGTGGGGCTGTCACCAATGTCCTCCCTTCTCCCTGGCCCTGGCAGATGCTTTGCAGCTGGTCAAGTTGCAAGAAAGGACACGGAGGTGTCATCTTCTGACCTCCAACTTTGCAAGAGGGAGACTGAGTAACCCTCAGCAGCCCAAGGCTGATTCCTATGAGGCCAGACACAGCGCCACCCTCCAGCCTTTTACCAACTCTGACACCAGCCGTCCCTGCCACGGCACTCACTACTTCTCTGCTGGGTTCGATAATTCCTTGCAATGGCCACACAGAACTCACAGAACCTGTACTTCTCCCAGGACAGATTTGTTAGTGTTGGCAGTGCTTAGTACTTTCGGTATGCTTTGTCAGTACAACCCAAAAGCATCAACTCTTCTTAGGTCTTCCTTATTCATTGTCCAGGAGCTCTGGTAGCCCAGCGCCTAAAGCATTTGACTGTTAACCAGAAGAACAGCCACTCCTTGGAAGGTCGACAAATAAAATGGCACAGTCCTGATGTTACCAAAGCACATGGCAGGCCATTATTTCAAGTCCATTGTAAGTCTCAAGGTCAGCAGAGCATGGCAGGCTGCTGAACAACAACACAGCTTCATGCAGGGTTCAAGTGTGCTACAAGCTAGAGACCATTCCCAAAGCTGCTTCTTATATACGGGAAGCAGACCACATAACCTAAGCAGCTACTCAGCTGCTTGTGGTGGATCCCACCATGGAACTGATTACCAGTCTCCTCATGAGGAGTAACTAGCACCAGCTGCCCAGCCACTCAACCAGGCCCAGCCAAGTTGACACACAAACATAACCACGACATTTGCATGGTCAGAAAAACACAAGTAAACATCTTTCTGGTATTCTTTGCTTTCAGCCACAATCCATCTGACATCAGCAATGGTATCTCTCGTTCCACATCCTCTTCCGAATCCAGCTTGCATTTCTGGAAATTCTCTGTCAGTATACTGTTTTTGAATTATCTTCAGTAAGCCCTGGATGGATGGCCTCCTGGAATCACCCTTAGTCCTGGCCAGCTGGCCCTTTGAGGACGAGCTCCGTGGGCAGAGCTGTGACCTCTCACCGTCCCACACAGGGCTAACGCTCAGTGGACACCTGCCCCTGCTGACCTGGGCTGAGTAGGGCCTGGGATTCTTGTTCCTCCCAGACTCAGCGTGGGGGTACAGGGCAGGGAGGCAGAGAGGGGCTCACAGGCTTATGGGTGCCCCCAGAGCCCGGCTGTCTTGTTAGGGAGAGCTGGGGGCCCGTAGGGAAGTACAGCCCTGTTCCTCATCTCCAAACTCAACACTGTCCCTGGGAGTCAGCCGCTCTGCAGGGATCCCCTTGGCCACACCCCTTCGGAGAGCGCCCTCTCTGGAGCTTCTGCCGCTGTCCAGCAGGGGGCGCCACCCACCACGTTTCCCATGTCCAGCAGGCGAGGGAGCACAAAGTGATTCTAGTCCCTGCGAGGGGTTCCTCGCCTCACCCCCACTTTATTGGGCCACTATAACATGGAGGGGAGCCCTGGTAGCATAGTGGCTAAGACACTTGCCTGCTAACCAGACGGCTGGCGGTTCAAACCCACCAGCCACTCCTCGGAAGGAAGGTTGGGCAATCCCACTTCCGTAGTGATACTGCCTCGGAAACCCAAGGAGGGGTCGCTATGAGTCGGGGCCGACTCGACGGCACATAACAACAATAACAACGTAACACGGAGGGGCCCTGGTGGTGCAGTGGTTAAGCACTCGGCTGTGAACCAAAAGAGCAGAGGTCTGAAGCCACCAGCCACTCTTCCAGAGAAAAACAGGGCACTCGGCTTCCATATTGAGAAACTCAGGAAAAGTGTGGGGTGGTTCTGCTCTGTCCTACAGGTTGCTGGGAGTGAATGTCGCCTCCATGACGTCGACTTTGTAATTCGGTGGCACATGAAATGCCCCCTTTGTTCTGCTTTTTTTTCCTGGGTTCACGGATCCGCTGAGGACCTGCCACCCTCAGCTGAGGGCTTCTCATGTCTGGGCCTGCCGGCTAGAGCCCCGTTACGGGGACACTGACAGGTTCCTGGGGCCAAGACAAGGCTGGACCTGCAGCCACCTGCTGGTTCCAGAGTGTCATTATCCTTCCTGCACATGGTTCTGCACATCCAATCTGGGTCATCGGAATGCCGTGGGGACAGCTACCACAGGCAGTAGCAGACGCAGACAGTGGCTGCCTGCCTTCATTCAGGACACCACCGTGTCCTTGGCCCACTGGCTTTGGGAACAGCATTCTAGAGTTGGACCCACCGCTCCCATCACCTGGGCAAGGCCCCTTCCCAGGCCTGTGACGTCTCAGTGTGCTGTCACTGTCACTGTTGGTGGTGATGGCCGCCGTCAAGTTCACCCCACTCGTGGTGAATCCCTGTGCAGCTGTGCCCAAGACAGGCTGTGGATTGGACCACTGTGACCCACAGGGCTTTCTCAATGGCTGATTTCCATCCTCACGCCGGCTCTGGGCCTTCTGTGGAACGCCCGCCAGTACACACGTGACACACGGCAAGATGTGAACCAGCCGGGCCCCCTCTGAAGAGAGACTAAGCGTGCTGTACCATGTCCGACAGACGGCATTACAGCCCCAGGCACACAGCTCAGATGATACAACCTTATAACTCAACACAGCCACGTTTTTCAAAGGGAAGATTGTATTGTTTCTATAAAAATAACATGTGCTTGTATGAAACTGTTAAAGAAAATGACCCAGAACAAAGGCCCGAAGCACACAGCCTCACCATACCGGCCTCCCTGGCATGCGGGTCCAGGGGTCCACACAGCTCCCCAGGGCTAGACGGGAGAGGACACGTCAGACAGACAGCATTAGCAAGCAGACGCTAACTCCCACCGGTGAGGCAGCTCCCAGTCGGATTCAGGGCACCAGCTCCCGCGGGGGCACCGTCATCTCTGGGGGAAGAGTGTCTGCTCCTGGGAGACCTCCAACACAACCCATGGCCAAGAAGTGATGACCCCAGGCAGAGACAGGACTTACAGCACATCTGTGGGGGACACGACACAACCCGTAACAGGAGGGGACCACAAGTCAAGAAAGTGGGCAGCTCTGGGAGACGGGAACGGCAAGGCATTCTCCAGGAGAGCCCCCGGAGGAAGCAACTGCGTGGACCCGTGTCAGACTGGACACGGCAGGCGGCTGTGACGGAGCGCATCTGCCCTGCTGCTAACTGCTGGTGGCGTCACACAGCTGCCCAGCAGCCACGGCGACCAGCCAGGAGGCTAACACGCATGCAGTACGACACCCGCTCCGGGGGCCTCACTGAGTTCCGTCAACTGGCCCACGACCATCTGCTTTCCGGCCTGGGGTCCCATCAGGGCCCACGCTGCGTTCAGTTGACGTCTCCTTGTTCCAGTCATTGCTGGATGCTGTCTGGTTGATTCGGGCTTGTACTGACCCCACGTGACGTGGGAGACATGCCCCAGAGAGTTCCCTAAACTGTGATACTCACAGAGCACACTGCTGGGCTGTTCTCCCAGGGAGCTGCTGGGAGGGTCTGAATCGCCACCCTTTCAATGAGCCGCCCAGGGCTCCCTGGCATCCCCTCAGCCCGTGCAATCCGAGGTGGTGACTGTGACCCTTGGGTAAGCCTGCTTGCTTATCGTGCAGCGCGGGCCTCGGTCTGGGTGAGCCTAGCAGTTTTGCACGATGAGGGTAAGGTCATGGCCGAAGACCAGCAATGCCAAGGGCCTGTGGACCTTGGTGGCTTGATTGGGTAGAGTGTCTCCACTGTGAAACGATCGTCTTCCTCATGTGGTCACAAGTGTCCTGCAGGGAGAGCCTTCTAGCCCTTGCACGTCTCATATCATGTCACCCTCACCAGCTCTCCTGCACCCTTCAGTTGTGACCTGCAGCACCCAGCTGCTACCACCTGGTGGCTTCCTGCCTCCATCAAGCTCCTGCACTGATCAACTGTCAGTTAGATCTTGCCCCTCCCCTCCGACGGAGGCCCTGCCCCGCCTCCCCTGTGACAAAGGCCCTGCCCCCTCCCCTCTGACGGAGACCCTGCCCCCTGCTGACAGATGTGTTGAGTTCCTTCCTTACAGCAGCACCCATGTCAATGTGGATTTCATCACTCTATGGGCCCCCCTCCATCAGACCGCCCCAGATCTGGCCCTGGGGCCACCTCCTCTCGGCTCCTGTTCTCTGGCTATGCCCTCATCTTTCAGTACTTCCTCACTTACTGACTGGAGACACTCCAGGCTTGTCTTGTACTTCCCCTGCCCCGCCCAGAAGCAGCCCTGGCTCCTTTTAATGGGGGGCGGACATGGACCCCAAATTCTGGGCTCTGGGTGCGCTCCCAGGAGCGTCACTGCTTCTAGGCCCTCTCGGTGCACAGAGCCTCGGCAGATCTGTATTTACACGCGTGTGCACACACAGCTTCCTTCATCCATTTCTACACCCAGCCATCTGGGTACGTTAAACTCCAGACGTTCCATCTAGCCCACAGGACTCACCCCGTCACCCCCCACACACACCTTCACGGTTCTCTGACGGGGAGGGGTCTGGCCCTCATCATCACAGTGTGTCCCACTGTGGTGAGAACAGTGTCATGACGGCTAGTCCGTGAGAGCCAAGTTCTTCTGGCGTAAACCTGCCCTTCCCTCCTTCAGTCCGAGCTCCCTCCTCCACGCTTGGCTGGATGTCCCAGAGCGAGGTCCATTCCGGCTCCCCTCCCCTCCCCCGGGCTCATCTACTGCTGAGCGTGGCCGGGTCAGAGCGGCACCAGGGGAGCACTCCGAAGAGTGCCCTCGTCTCCCACTGCACCTGCCTGCCTACCCCATGGGTATATGTCCCCTCAGCTTCCTCTTTTCCTTCCTGGAGACGTCGAGGGTTCGGTTCCAGGCCACCGCACTGCACTGAGCGTCACAATCACACACGTGTTGGTTCCCAGCGCATGGTCTACGAGGCACGCAACAGCCTGACGAGCTACTGCGAGAACGTCCAGAACAGGCCCCAGACACACGAAGTGAGTAAGCGTTGCTGCAGCGTCACTACAGGCCTCCCGTTGGCAAAAAACGCCATCTGCGAGGTGCCACAGGTGAGGTCTGCCCTGCAACCCGGTCAGAGGGGCATCAGTGCAGGAGATCCTGGAGAGACTGGGAGAACAACGTGGAACAAAACTCAAAATCACAAAAGACCAGGTCTGCTGCTCTGGTAGAGCCTGGTGAGACCCTGAGACTATGGCCCCTAGTTACCCTTCAGGCCTGAGATTGAACTCACTCCCGTGGCTTCCAGCCAAACAGTTAGACAGGCACGGGGTGAACACTCCTATCAGGTGGGTACACTCCTCAGAACAGAAGGGCAGTGTCTGCACAGGGAGACAGCTCAGGGGCTGGGAATGCACAGGGAAGAAGGACAAAGGGGTAACCACAGGGAGGGAGTGGGAAGAGAGATGCTACACTGTGGGGAATTGCAGTCCATGTCATGAAATAAAATGTGTACAAACTGCTGTGTGGAAAACCAATTTGCTCTGTAAACTTTCACCCAAATCCCAATAACAATTTTAAAAAGAGAAAGAAAAGGTACCTATCACTCTTTCAGACAGCTGTTGCTGGGGGCCGCAGACCCCTCGTCACACAGCAGTGCCCCACGGGATCTTCTTGGCTGTTATCTTTATGGAAGCAGATCACCATGTTTTTTCCTCCCACGGAGCCACTGTATGGGTTTGAACTGCTGACCTTTTGGTTCACAGCCCAGCGCTTAACCTCTGAGCCACCAGGCTCCTTGTAGACAGCCACGGTCGCCCTTGCACACTGTGGTTCTCACTGGTCCCTCGGGTCAGGGGCTTCCTTCCTTCTGGCTGTGTGGGGCTCTAGCAGGTGGTCCCGCCCCCCACCTGGGCATCTGGGTGGCTCTCCAGGCTGCTGCCATAGGCCGCGTGCGCTGGAAGTCTCAATATTTTGATGGCTTGCTTTGGTTTGGTGATAAAAGCCGATTTTTCATAAGCCAGGCAACAATGTGCTGCTAACAAGCAGACGGAAGGGGCTGTAGGGACCTGCTAGCAGCACCGAGGGCACGGTCAATGAACTTTCCGTCAGGGCTCCCACACACTGGCTGACCTGACCGAGACGTGGCTGCATGGGCCCGGAACAGAGGGCCGGACATAAGAGAAGGTGGCAGAGAGCAAGGAAGCCTCCACCACCCACAGGCCCGGGAAGGGCAGACGTGCCAGCATCAGGCCCGGGGTCCCCAGCAGCAGTGGGACTCAGAGTGGGGCCATCCACCACCTGCTGGGGGCGCTGCAGGATCCACTGCCAGGGTGGCCGCCCGGGCACACATGCCCTGGACTTCCTCTCCCCTGCCAGCCTCTGCCAGGATCCTCACGGGCCAGACATGGACACCAGCCAGCAGCCAAAGGGCCAGCGCCTTCCTGAGCCCAGCTGGGGTGGGGGCAGACCTGGACCAACAGTGCTTGCTATGATTCATGCAGCAGCGAACCTGACCACGTATCCAAATGCCAGGAACTCTGCCTTGGGGTCAGCCAGCAGGGACGTCTAAATTGCAGTGATTCTGGGGTTGGCTGGCCACAGAACCACTGCTCTCGTGTGTGCTAACGAAAACCACAGCCCACTGCTTCTTGTCCTCTGGAATGGAAGAGAGTGTAGTTGGTACACACCGGGAGGGCACTCCTATCCAATAAAGTCTAGAGACACTTTGACTCCAGGGCATGAGGATTCATCTTCCAGGTACGGCAGGCGGCCCACTTAACAGGAGGGTCTATGTGCACAAAAACAGTCTGACACAAACCAGGGGCGATCTTTTTATCAGAAAGATACAGGGCACCCAGGAAACCCCACCATCAGCCAGAGTCTTTCCTACTTCCTACTATTTGTAAGAGGAGGGATCAGTGGCAGGTACACTCCTGGGGACGAGGAAAGCAGTCTGCTAGGGGACGGCTGTCTTCTGACACCACCTGTCTACAGAACACACTGAAGTCGGGGCTTCTATTGCAGTAGCACTGCACGGACACTCAGAGCCCAGTGACCGAGGGTCCCCTACTGGCTGCCCCGCCACGCCGGCACTCTCAGCTGCTACCGTGAGCGCCCTCCGAACCCGGCCACGTGATCAGATTTACTGTCCAAACACAACACCATCTTGGGGGAGAGAATCTACAACAAAGAACAGTGAACCTCATTCTGGTAGGATCAGGCTACCAGCCCCAACTACAAAGCAAATCTGACACCGACCGACTTCTCACCCAGGCCGCGGGCCCCCGGAGCCCCACCTGCAGCCCTCAGTATGGTGTCGTGCGCGGCTCCGCCAGGCGTCCAGGTGCAGTCCACAGGTCTTCCTCCACTAGCTTTTGTCTCTTGCCTCTGACTTGCCCCCAATCAGGTCCCCAAACCCCAGCTTCTCCAGTGGTTCCTGTGCCATCAGCTGCCTGGAAAGAAGCAGAGCGGTCACGTGGGAGGTGAGAGACCGGTGGCCCCATTCAGACCTGTCTGGAGCCCCTCCAGCCCCACCTAGAGCCTAAGCCCTCCTTGGCCCCTTCCTAAGACCTGAGGGCCCACTCCCTTCTGGGGGTTTCAGAAGGGCAGCTGTCTGGACGGGTGGGCAGAGCATGACATACAGGCTGGGGTCCACATGGCCGGCACAGGGGAGCCCGGCCTGGGAAAGGAGGGGCAGGCTGAAATGACAGCTGCTGCTCCCCGCCACGCTGCCTGTGATGTGAGCACATGGGCGTCTGTGGCGGGAGGAAGAAACATCACCAGCCAGTACGACTGGTCCAAGACATGCCCGCCGCAAACCCAGCACCTGAGCAAGACCACCAGAACCAATGCCTGCAGCTGAGCCCGTCCTACAGCCTGAAAGAAGATCACCAAAAACACCTACAGCTCTGAGCTCGTCCTACAGCCAGAAGGAAGGAGCCCTGGGGGTGCAAGTTAAGCGCTCAGCTGCAAACCAAAAGGTCAGCAGTTCAAACCCGCACAACAGCTCCACAGGTATCTGCTCCCACGAAGATGAGGGCCTTTGTCATCCCGACAGGGCCTCTATTCTGTCCTGTAGGGTCACTATGCATCAGAACCAACTCAATGGCACCTGTGGTGGTTGAGTCTGTGTGTCAACTTGGCTGGGCCTGGTGAATGGCTGGGCAGATGGATGTAGTATTTCCCATGAGACGTAATCAACTCCATGGTGGAATCTACTGTGAGCAGCTGCCTTAGGGACGTGGTCTGCCTCCTGTATATAATCAGCAGCCTTGGGGAATGGTCTCTAGCTTGTGGCACGCTTGAACTCTGCATGTAGTTGAGTCGTTGTTCAGCAGCCTGCCACGATCTGCTGGCCTTGGGACTTTTAATGGACTTGAATTAATGGCCTGCCATGTGGTCTGGTAGTATCGGGACTGTGCCTTATTACTCGTCAACCTTGGGCTTGTCACTCTCAGTAGCCAGCAGCTGTCTGAGTAAAGAGATGCCTCCAGCTCCAGTGGGCTAGGAGCAGGAGGCGGAGCTGAAGCCCAAGGTTGAGGGGCTTTCACCCAGCCCCTAGAGTCTGGCACTTGGAACTTGGACTTAAAACCTCCAAACTGTAAGGGAATAAACCCATCGCATTTGTAGTATATTCTTGTCAGAGCAGCACTAGGTAACCAGAACAGCACCCAATAACAAGGCCAAAAGAATGATTTCAAGTCTCTTTTTAACCTAGGGGAACCTACTAAGAAGAGCAGAGCCCGCTTTGGGGCCAGCTTGCTAGAAAGATCTGAGCCGGTCAGACCACCTCACAGCCAGCCCTCTCCAATCCATATGCAAAGGCCTGGAGTGGCAGTGAAGGCGGAGGGGCCACCTGGCTGGACCACGACTCTGAGGGGCTCAGCTCCTGGGTGCAGTCATTCCCCTTGGGGAGAATGGACGTGATCACCTCCGTGGTGGCATCTGCTGTGGGCAGTTTATCAGCTACGGAGCGTGGGCTTCACGGTGTGGCCTGCTTCCAGTGTGTACAGAATGGCTTCTCCGTCTGGCTGAGTCTTCAATGCCAGTCCTGGACTTGAACTGGTGGCCTGCCCTGTAGGGTTCATGAGCCTCAGCAGCCAGCTGCCTGAGGTGGGAGAAGCCTCCGGCTCCAATGGGCTTGGAACAAGAGGCAGAGCTGAAGAACTCAGACTTCTAACTTCCTCAACCACAAAAGAATAAAGTCCTGCCTGTTAAAGCCAACCACTGCGGTATTTGTCAGAGCAGCACTACAGACCTAAGTCACAAGATTACTCTCTGTCACAGCCCCAGGCTCTTGGGGGCCTTCAACGTGATCCACAGCTGGCTGCTGACGCATTCCATGTTCTTCACGGCAGTGATCACTTGGGGCCTGAAGACCATGCACTGTGCCAGTACCTGCCAAGGACAATCCAGCAACCCACTGGCAAAGAAACCGAGATCAGCGTGAGTACGTGTCCGTGGCCACATGGCTGGTGAGCACTGGAGCTCCAGGCCAGTACCTCGATGGCTAAGTGGCTGGTGCTCTGACACCACCCACTAGACTGGGCTGAGTTTTCAGGTCCCACACCACACACACACACACGTCATTGTCTCTGGCAGCAATGTCCTTCCAGTGTTACCATTTCCTCTGTGAGAGCATGTGCCACGCCTGACACCACACCCACACTTTCAGGGCTGAGTGAATCCTTGATAAGGCAACTCTAAAAACGCTGTCACAGGCACAGAAAAAACATGCACTCTCACGGTAAAAGACACACGTAGAAAGAAGCAGGGAAAGAGAACGCTGGGGCCTTCAGCACAGAGGGAAAAGAGTTAGACAAGAAACAGCTAAGAAACGGTGTGCCGACATCTCGAGCCTCCTGAAGATGGTGGTGGGTGTGGGAGGGACCACCATCCTTTAAAAACAAAACTGACCAAATAAGACATACACACTCACGTGTGCACACATGTATACTCACGCATAGACTCACGTGCGTGCACCCACACAGATGCAGGCACGCTCATCCACACACACGCAGATGTGAGCCGAGCACTCACACATCTGTCACAGATGCGCACATCCTCACACTCACATGCAAGCACTCACATCTGTGCCTGTCAGACGTGCACTCACTCACAGATGTGCACACACACTCAGATGCGAGCACACACATTTACACATCAGATTGGACTCACAGATGTGAGCAGAAGGACCCACATACTCACAAAGACATGAGCATACTCACACATCTGTCACAGACTTGCACACATCCTCTCACACACTACCTACCCATTATGCAAGAACTGCAGGCCCAGCCAGCAGAGCCACTTGGACATGGCGGCCACGTGGACCAGCCAGATGCACCCTCCCTTCGGCCTGTCCCAGCAGGCCTCCGAAGGCTGGCGATCCACGCTGTATCCACAGAAGCTGTCTGAGCAAAGCCTGGCCTCAGGATGGGCCTCAGCCCACTCCCTGGGCGCATGGAAGAGGGCACAAAGTGGGGAGTGTGTGGGCACCGGCTGTGACGACCCTATTTGCTGGAGTTTCCCAGATGCCCTGTGAGGGACCTGTCACCTCTCAGGTCATCAAGGTAAGGAAACCAAGCACGAGAAACGGTGACCCACTCCAAGCCCAGCTCCACAGCAGGGAGGCAAGCTGCCCCGCAGAGGGCACCAAGAAGAAATCCATCTAGCTCAAGTCTCCATTGACACAGGTGGGTCCAAACAGCCTCTGCTGCCAGATGGGAAGGACTGAGGCCACTGTGGCTCCTTGTCAGAGTGAAGACTCTGAGGTGACCCTGGATGACCACTCATGTCACTGCTACGGCCCTTCACCCTCGAGGCCTCCACTGAGATCAGTGACCCTCGGACACACCCCGTTCTGTGACTGGAAAACGAGGCTGGGCTTAAACTGGGCAGGCATCTGTCAGAACTGATGAAATGTCCAAAGACAGAATTCCTTCGTGAGCTCAAATGGCAGAAACAAAAGCTCCTCCCACCCACACCCAAGAAACAGCTACATAATTACATGTTACACGGGTTTTTCGCTTTTACAGTGAGTAAACTCCCATGGACCACAGGTAGGGATGCTTTAGTTTTGCTGCAAAGTGAACTCTAGCAGATTCTGGTTGGGACAGGAACGACCATCCATCTTTCATCACTTCTCAAACAGCCATTGTCTGCCCTGTCACATTCCAAGCAGCGCCCAGTCTGAGGGAGGGACTGTACCCACACTCCTCACAGCTTCTGGCTCAGTCAGCACTTCTGTGGTGCACGACTCTGAAGCCACCGTGACAGGCCAGTAGCACCCAAAGTTGGAAAGAAAACACCCTGAAGAATGCAATCACGTATAATGCTGTCACTCGAGAAAAGGGGCCCCGACATCACTAAAGAACTTTCAGTGCAATAGGCCTGGCCTCACAAGCAAACCAGCTGCCAGCTCCCCACCCCTCAGCCTGGACAAGGTCTTCCAGAACGACCTCTTGGGGCGCGCGTGTGCGTGTGTGTGTGTGTGGGGGGGGGTCCTGGCCTGCCTGCCAGCTTGGGGGATGCTCTCCTGTCTGCCAGTGTGGGGGTTGTGTCCTATCTGCCAGTATGTGGGGGGTCCTGGCCTCCCGGACCGACCTCTGGCCGGGATGGGGTGCAGCTCTGTACCAACCGCCGGGAATACTCGCCTCTCCATTCTGCACTGCAGATACTCCTTGGACTCATTTCTGCACAGGGTATTTTCAAAATGATTGTCTCGGAGACACTTCATGAATTTCTCCTGGAAGCGTTTACACTCGCCTGGAACGAGACAGAAAACGTTGTTTTCCTCTTCGAGTGCAAGCCGGCTTCTCCAGCAGGGCAGCCTCCATGACAGCCCTGCCTCGCTTCCTTCAGAAACATGCCGCCAAAGACCCTGGAAAGAACAGGGGCAGTAAGACAGTGAGGGCAGGACCCAGGCAATAAGCAGGGGAAGCTCGGGTAAAGGTCTCCCAACTCTGATTGTTTATTATAAGATTCCATCACAGAGTATCGGGGGAAAGACAAGGACCCTCCCTGGGTACTTCCGGTTCGTTCCCATGGAGGCTCCGCCCAGTTATCCACCCAAACCGCCTTCCGGCCTGGAACACGCCATCGCAGCATTTTGCACCCAGAGCGCTCCGTCGCAGCTGCGTTTTGCACCCGCAGTGCTCCACCGCAACAGCATTTTGCAGCTTTGCAGGAAGGAATCATGAGGATTTAACCAATTGCAGAATTCCTCACCGGTGAGAGGGGGTTGATTTACACACCGCTTTCTCTAAAGAACGAAGCATGTCTCACTCCCCATCTCATCCCTCAAAGTTACGCGGCGTCAGCTCCGACTGGTGACCACGCCGTGCGTCAGAGCGGAAGTGCCCTGCCACGGCGTCTCCAGCGGCTGGTTTTCCAGAGGCGGAGCGCCAGGCCTTCCTTCCGAGGCTCCCCTGGGTGGATTCACCCCTCCCACCTCAGCTGGTGGCCCCGCTGAGGGACCCACTTAGGTTACACCCGAAAGCAACATCCTGCCATCCAGCTGCTCTTGACTCCCAGCGACCCAACTGGGTTTCCAAGGCTGCAAACCTTTAGGGACTAGCCAGGCTCTTGGTCTCCCCCACCCCGGGCGCAGCTGGTGGGTTTGAACCGCTGACCTTCTGGTCAGCAGCTGTCTCAGCCAGAAACCACCAGAGCTCCTCTGGGTTCCACCAGAACCGACCCAGTATCGTCAGTCTCGCCTCTTAGGTTAGAAACAAACCCAAACCTCCGCCCGCGGGCCAACTCCGCCTCCCGTCGCCGGGGGCCGGCGAAGCTGCGCTCCCAGCATTTCCAGCGCTGATGCCCCATCCAAGCCCCAGAGCGACAGACGTGTCTTCGGGGTACGATGCACCGAGGAAGCCCGGCCTTCGGGATCCCTAGGCGGGGGCGGCCGCGGTCCATGTCTAGCTATAGCGCCCGGGTGGCGGGGTCGGCGCCTAGCGGGGCTCCTGGTCTCCTAGGGGGTCGTGCGGGTCATGGAGACCGTGGGGTGCTCCCAGAACACGCGCGCGGAGGCCGAAGCCAGGACTTGATGCCCGGGCGGGGTCCCCAAGCCCTCGCTTCCTGTCTCCTCCGACAACCGGGGCGTGGGCCTCGGAGATCGGCCCTCGCTGCTCACCGAAGTGGTCTAGGGGGAAGCTGCCCTTGTCCGGGGGCCGCGGCTGGAAACTTTTGGCCCCGAAATTCATGGCCGTCGACATGATTGTGACCGTGAAGCTCCTGGCGCCGGCCTCAGAACGCGACGTATGCAGCACGCAGGGCGGCCGGCCGAGAGCCGAGTAGGCGTCGCGCGAGCACCGAGCGCATCGAGCGGCGGCCCCGCCCCGCCCGACCCTTCAAGCTCCGTTCCCGCCAGGTTGCGGCCCGTTTCTTCTGGTCTGACCCTCTGCTGCTGGGCAGGGGATCCGCCGCCATCCCCGCGGTAGGGAGGGCCAGACGAAGTCCAGTGACCTGCCCGAGGATAAACAGGTCGGCGCCTCCGTGGACGCGAGGGCGTCCCCTGGGGGCTGCCTGTTGAGAGTGAGGTCCCAAGGAAGAAAGAATCTGGGGGAAACAGTGTGGGAAGGAGAGAAGTTTAAATTCCTGAAAGGCTCAGGGAAGTGAGGCAGAAACAGCAGGAAGTTGTGAGAGAGCCTCGCAGAACCCGCAGAGCTCACGTGCTAACAGATGGAAACGGACCGAAGGGTTAGAACAGGGATGTTTCTCGAAAGCGGAACAGAAAGAGTCACGCGGGGAGAGGGAACAAGACGGTCCTTCTGTGTGTGTCGAAGTCGGCCTGGGGGCTCCGGGGCCCCAGGACCTCAGCAGTGGTGGCCGAGGGAGCTCCTGGCAGAGCGCGTGACCCGTCCCCGGCGTCTCGTCGGTGCCGGATCTCAGTTCATACTTCCCAGCGAGGAAGAGAGCACTGCTCCCGTTTCACCGATGAGGAGACAGGGTCAGGGTCGCCCACCGGACTCCAGCCAGGGGCTGACGGGGCCGCAGTGCTCAGACAGCCCCGGGGAAGTCCAGCTTCACAGCACAGACCAGAGGCTGAAGCTCCAGAAAAGCGGGGACATCTGAGAGCACCCCAGCTCGATGTGCAACCGACCTGGTCTGTCCCCACAAAGGGACATGGAGGGCTGCTGCCCCAGACTGGGGACTGCATGCGGCACAGAACAGCTGGTCCCTCCGCAGAGACCCTGGGAAACAGTCGCACAGGAGGGAGGCCAGAGCAGCCGCCCTGGAGTCGGGTCTGATGGCGCCCCACGTGGGTCGGGGTAGAACTGCGCCACGCGTTTTCGGCGGCGGGTCTTTGGAAGCTGATCACCAGGCCTGCCCGGGTGCCTCTGGGGCCTTGAACTTCCAACTTTTTGGTTAGCAGCTGAGCATGCTCACCGTGTTACACACCCAGGGACCGCCTGTAAAAGGGCGCAACCCCAGAATTCAGAGCTCTGAAGCGTGCCACTGTCAAGGTCTGGCTCCAATGCCCCCTCCAGGAAGCCATCCCAGATCTCACCTCTGCACACCTGCCCTTCCAGCACCAAATAAGGAAGATTGGGCAATCTACTTCCACAGTGATAGCGCCTCGGAGACCCAAGGAGGGGTCACTATGAGTGGGGTCTGACTCCACGGCAGTGAGTTTGCTTTTTATGGTCAAATCTGCCTCTTTGTGACCAGGGCCAGCACAGGGCTGGTACTGAATGTCTGTGGATGGTTCAGGCAGGGCGTGTACGGCAGGCCCAGGCTGCTGGGAAACCTGCCCGGGCCTTTCTCCGCTGGGGCTCTGGTCCCACTTGAAAGCACAGGAGCAAACCTGCCCCTTGCTCTGGTCTTGCAGACAACCGTCTGACACCACTGGGGCAGGGTATACTGGGTTATTCATTAACACGTTTCCAGGGCTGTGGACAATGGGGCTTTTATTGTCCAGCACTTTTCCACTTAACCAGACGATAACGCCACTTAGCAGTAAGTGGCACCCCTCCCCCAGAGCTTGCCTGCAGCTTTGCTGTCCAGCTCCCCGAGGGACAAGGAAGTGGCTGAGGCTGATGGGTGTGTGTGTGACAGCCAGCTTTTAGTTGTCAGGTCTGTACAAAGGAAGCTCTGGTGGCACAGTGGTTAAGCACTTGGCTGCTAACCAAAAGGTTGGCGGTTTGAACACATCAGTTGATCCACGAGAGAAAGATGAGGCAGTCTGCTTCCATAAAGATTTATTATTATTATTATTATTATTGTGATTTGGGTGAAAGCAAATTCGTTTTCCATACAGCAGTTCATACACATTTTGTTACATGACATTGACCGCAATTCCCCTGCTTCCATGAAGATTGGTAGCCTTGGAAACCCTGTGGAGCAGTTGTACTCTGCCCTGTAGGGTGGCTAGGAGTCAGGATCGACTCGATGGCAGTGGGTTTTGTTTCTGGTTTTAGGTCTGTACTCGGCAACTGAGGATCGATTTGTCTGACGTTCGCTGCTGGGACGGGGAAGAGGCTCCAGGCGGCTCCCAGATGCGCAGAGCAGGGGGAGCCTCCTACCTGCAGGCTCCCTGGGGCAGGAACGTGCCTGGCAGTGGTTTAGTGCTCAGCTAATATTTTCTGAATGAATGAGCCCAGGGAGGTAGGTGTTATTAACCTCACACTGGGAAACTGAGGCTCAAAGGCTCAAACCTCCTGCTTGACGCTGCACAGCCAGTATATAAATTATCTGTTGTGTAGTGAAGTACCCCAAACTTGTTATGTGCCATCCAGTCGACCCCGACTCATAGCGACCCCTCCTTGGGTTTCCGAGGCAGTATCACTACGGAAGTAGATTGCCCAACTTTCCTTCCGAGGAATGGCTGGTGGGTTTGAACCGCCAGCCTTAGGCACTATGCTACCAGAGCCCCCCACCCAAATTTAGTAACATAAAATAGCAATCAATTTCTGTAAAAGAATCATGATCAAAAGGTGGTGGTGGGGGGGAGATACACTACAGAATTCCAAATTCTCACGGAATCCAGAGTGTCTGGAGCCACAAGTCTGGGTGAACTCCTGAAACCATTGCCCTGAGATCATCTTTAATCCTTAACGAAAAATATCCCTGACGTCATCTTATAGCTTTACTAATAAAAATATGTCAGCCTTGAATACTGGGTCTTTTTTCTATTTTATTTTTCAGTGTTCCTTCTCCTCCCCTACCACCCCTGGTAACCAACAAAGAAAGTTTCTTTCCATATATTAACCTTTCCTTGATTTTTTACAATAATGAGCTAATACCATATTTGTCCTGTGACTGCCTTATTTTACTCAGCATAATGTCCTCCAAAGGAGCTCTGGTGGCATAGTGCCTAAGGGATCTGACTGTTAAACAGAAGGTTGGCAGTTCAAACCCACCAGCCACTCCTTGGAAGGAAGACTGGGCAATCTACTTCCATAGTGATACCACCTCAGAAACCCAAAGGGGGTCGCTATGAGTCGGAATCGACTTGATAGCAGTGAGTTTGGTTTTGGTTTTTAATGTCCTCCAAGTTCATTAACGTTCTGCAGTATTTTGCAGATTCTACGTTATTTTTTAGTGTTGCGTAGTATTCCATTGTGTGTATGTACCACGATTTGGCTATCCATCCTTCTGTTAAGCACTGTGTCTTTAAAGAACTATTTATATGGTGCCAAATTGACAACAGCAACTCAAAAGATTAGACAGAAACCTTAGAGGGCAGTAAGTTTATGTTAGTAGAGGAGGAGTGCCTCAGAGAAGGAGGGTGAGGGTGGTGGTTGCACAGCCGGAACCATGTCCTCAGCGTCCCTGAACTGTACAAACACGATTGGTGTATGTTTTGCTGTGTATGCAACAAGAAATAAACAAACAGTAAAAACTAACTTTGCTTATGAATTTGCAGTTTGGGGCGGATCTTGGAGACAGATCTACTTGGTGTCAGCTGGAATTGATGAGCTCAGGGCTGAGGGATCCACTCCGAGACGGCGCATCCAGTGGCTGGCCAGCTGGCAGGGCCTCCTCACAGCATGGCAGCTGGACTCCAAGAGTGAGTGTCCCGGGAGTAACAGTGGAAGCTGCATTGTTTTTTGTGACCTAGCCTTGGGTGTCACATGATGTCCATCTCTCATCACGAGTGCTCACCAGACTCAAGGGCTGGGAACATTGATCCCCCCTCTTGATGGAGGAAGACAAAAATTGTAAGAAGAGTGTGTAGGTTGGATGAACACATCTGCTTAGAGGAAGTACAGCCAGAACGCTCCTTGGAAGCGAGTGGGGCAAGACTTCCTCTCATCTGCTTTGGACCTGTCATCAGGAAAGACCAGTCCCGGGAGGACGTCCTGCTCGGTTCTACTTCAAAGAGCCTCAGTGGGACAGACTGACAGAGAACAACAGTGGCCCACGTGGCAACGACTGGGGGTGCTGCGGGGCAGGACAGCGTTTGGTTCCGTTAGATGTGGGGTTGCCGTGGGTCAGAGCTGACTGGACTCATGACCAGGGAGCTTCTCGGTGGTCTTCCTGCAGAATGCCACCTGCTGCAGCCACCTAGCGGAGTGGCTGGCCTGGAAACGAGGTCCGACAGACTCGAGACCCCCGACTCTTCCTTGGCTTTGCTGACTCCAGGTGGCGGCTGGAGCCAGCCCCCACTTTGTCGCCTGGTTACCACACCCGGGGGGCCCTCTATGTCACCTGCATGTGTTCTTCCAGAACTGTGCTGCCCCCCATCAGGAAAAGTCCAACTCTGTGCCTTGTGTGGGGCCGGCCTGCGTGGTGCAGGAGTGAGCCCGCTCACCTGCTAAAGGTTTGCAGGTTTGAGTCCACGCAGGGGTCACTTGAAGGATGTGCTGGCCCACACAGCAGCTGGTGAGACCCTGTGGAGCCCGGTTCTGCTCTGGCACATGGGCACCAGGGGTCGGAGCCAGCTGGGCGGCACCTCGTGTTTGGAATGGTCACGCTTCTTTGTGAGTGGTCACGCCATCCTGATTCACTGACAACCCCCAAGTCATAACCCCCCATTCCACTCCAGGTTTGACTCTGACCCTGAACTGGAGCTCCAAGGAGCTCTGGGGCCCACCTGGCCTCACCTGGCATGGCCTGTGGGGCGGGGCCTTGTGTCCTTGAGGGGCTCTGATCCTCAAGGTGGTCGTCCTGTTGGTGGCGAGCCCACACCACGTGCTTGGGGCAGACGCTGGGGTCGGCGCCCCCAAGGCACACGGCAGGTCCTGGGTAACTATCTCTTCGTCTGCTGAAGCTCCTCGCCGCCAACCACTGGGTTTGTGATGTTCATTTTGCAGAGAGGTGGTGTCACTGGCCCAAGCGGGCAGGGCCAAGGTGGGCCTCTGACCAGACACCTCTCACTCCTAAGCTGTGTCTTCACCCAGACACCCTGCGCGCCGCTCAGGAGGGGTGGATGTGCCCCCAGACATGGCCGAGGGCCATCCCGGGTACTCTGGGCGGGGATGCCTCACAGACGCCTCTTCTCTGGGGACGAGTTCTCGGCAGAGTCCTTGCTCCCCAGAAATGGGGCAGAGGGTAGCCTCCCAGGGCACTGCTCTTATTACTAGTCACCTGGACTCGTGGCGACCCCACGTGTAAGGAGGACACTCCACGGAGTGTCCACGGGGCGTCTGTGGAGTGTCCACGGGGTGTCCAGGGGGCGTCCACGGGGTTCTCAAGGTGGTGGCCTTTCAGAAGCAGCTCACTAGGCCTTTCTTCTGAGGAGCCTCTGGGTGGGTTTGAACTGCCAACCTGCTGGCTGATAGTTGAGCACTTCAGTGCTTGTGCCACCCAGGGACCCCACAAGGCTGCTGTCCTCATCGGGTGCCGTGGAGTCCATTCCGACCCACAGCGCCCCTAGAGGACAGAGTGGAACTGCCCACTGGGTCTCCAAGGCTGTCAGTCTTCACAGAAGCAAAGCCCAAACCACACCCACTGCCATGGAGTCCATTCTGACCCACAGCGCCCCTAGAGGACAGAGTGGAACTGCCCACGGGGTCTCCAAGGCTGTCATCCTTACTGAAGCAGTTCCCAGGGCTTTCCCTTGAAGATCCAATGGCAATGGCAAGTTGAAACCACGGACCTGTTTAACAAGGAGTGCTTAACCATTTCACCTCCAGGGCTGCTAGGAGAATCTACAGGTCCTGCAGGTAAGAGACCTGCCTGGGGAAGTGCTCATGGGGTGGACGCAATGCCAGAAGCTGGCTCAGCTGGAGCCCTGACTGGGTCCCACACCCCCTCCCCTGCCCCCAACTCCCTGAGTCCCCACCTGCCCAGCCCACCCCTGCCAGACCCTGCTGGGTGGGCACCACTGGGCCCTGCTGCTGGGCACCATGTCTGCTCCTGGGCAATACCAAGATCTCAGCCTCACACACAGGCCTCACCAACCTACAGAAGGCAGCTGAGGGGACAGGGCCATGGCCCCAACCCTTGAGTCCCTGCCTCTGGCCATGCCCCTTGCCACACTGCCCCAGGCATCTTTCCACAAGGCTCTTCACAGCCATCCCTGTGCCCTGCCCCCCCCCCCATCTCCTCTCCGGACGTGGTGACGGACCCCCCTGGCTGCCCCTGTGCTATGCTGTTCCATCTGCTACAACACCCTTCCCATCAGCCTGGCCAGTGCTGACTCACCTTTTCAGCTCCGTCTCAAACCTGGCATCTCCTGTGAAGTGCTGCCAACCTTCTTGCCTCCTGCGTGGCCCCTCTGTTCCCAGGGGGCTTCGGTGAGGGCAGCGTCCTGGGGCTGCAGCCCTCACGTCAGGTGGGCTGCAAACAGCAGGCCTCAGTAACCGTGCCGGGTTGACTGCGTGCGTCTTAGCAGCAAACGGGTACGAGGGAGGAGAGCCAGCAGCTCTTTCAGCCGCAGGGACAGGAGGGCTGCCAGCCATGGGGTGAGCTTCCCATCCCGGCGTGTGCAGACAGGCTGGGGCTTTCCTTCCAGGGCCAGCGGAGGAGGACGGAGCCAGGTCCTCAGGCTGCCCTCTCCTGGGCTTTGGGCTCTGGTGGCGGCGGCCCCCAGTCATTGGGGACGGGGCCCCAGTGGCAAGCCCAGGTGCCTCATGTCAGGGCAGGTGGTGCAGAGCGGGCCTGGCTGCTTCTGATGCCAAACCCCCACCTCCTGCCTCCCCAAGCCCGTTCCCAAAGCAGCAGGCCCCCACCCCCCGGTCTGGGCTGGGCCACCAGGCTTTACTAGACTGGAGTTTGTCCCACAGACGGCAAGCAGCTCATAAACCACCGTGGTGGCTGACCCCACCCTCCTGTCCAGCCTAGTCCCTGCCTTCTGCCCCGAGTGGTCATCCGGGGCCACCAGCCAGGAGGCCACATGCACCCTAGACAGCCCTGCTGGTCACACATGGCCCTGTGGTGGGTTTAGGGGGAGGCCCACCAACCTCTACCCCCAGGGGTGTTGCAGAAGGGCTCAGGGTGGGAGCATGGGAGACCCGCTCTTCAAGCCTGGGCCCCAACCCTGTGAATCTGGTTCTGGTGGGGAAACTGAGGCACCCCGGGCGGGATGGGCAGGTCCCATGGGGCACTGGGGATAGCCCAGTCACTGTGAGACGTCATTGTTCCTGGTCCTCTAGCCAGGAGTGAGGACTGAGGGCCCCAAGCACAGCCTTCCTGGCCCCAGATGGGGCCCCGGTCCCCCGGCACAGACAGGCCCCCACATTCCGCGCCTGCCACTTTAAGCTGGGGCTGCCACCTGCAAACTGCTCACGCCGCATTCTTGGGGCGGCGGCAGGGTGGGGAGCGGCCCTCCCTCCCTGCACGGGGCCTATAAGGCCGGGTGCGGCCTGTGGGGCCGTGTCCTCATGGCCCCGCCGGCCGAGCTAGGCCTGCTGCTCTTGGGGCTGCTCTCGGGGCTGCTCCTGGGGCTCTGGACGCTGTGCCGGGCCTGGACCCCAGTCGCAGCGCCTGCCCCACGCTGGCCCCCGGGGCCGCGCCCCCTGCCACTCATAGGAAACCTGCACCTGCTGGACGTACGGCGACTGGACCACTCGCTGATGGAGGTAGGAGGGGGCGGCCTCCCACTGCGGCCAGCCCTGGAGGCCTGGCCACCATGCCTTTCTTTCTGCCTAGAGTGGCACCAGGCCCTGCAGGGACACAGGAGGCCAGGGCCAATCAGTCTTTGGGAAGAGTGACTACTCATGCTTCCTCCACCCAGGCAACAGATCCATTGAGTTAGGAGGCCTCCTGGGGAGTTCAGCCTGGGGTGGGGTGCAGAACCAGGCGGGCTTCCTGGAGGAGGCAGGCTTTGCTGTGAGCCTGCAGGACGGACAGATTTGGGGTCAGTGGAGGGGCGGAGGATCGTCCTAGAAGCAGCACCCATGCCTGGGTGGTGGGTGTGGCCAGCCTGGCCCCTCCTGGCCGGGACAGAGGGTGGGGACCTGGCTTGTTCCTTGGTCCTTGTTGAGTGCAGGCGGCCCAAGCCCTGCTCCAGCCCCCGGCCCTCCCACTTCATGGCCCTGCCAGTGTCCCAGCCACGGGTGTGAGTCCACCGTCCGGTGTAGCCCAGCGAGGGCCTGGGGCGCTGCCTGCTGACTGCCTGTCCACCAGCTCGCGGAGCGGCACGGGCCGGTGTTCACAGTGCACCTGGGGCTCCAGAAGACGGTGGTGCTGACGGGCTTCGAGGCGGTGAGGGCAGCGCTGGTGGGCACCGGGCAGGAGCTGGCTGACCGGCCACCCATCCCCATCTTCCAGCTCATCCAGGGAGGAAGGGGTAGGTGGGGTCACCAAGGCTGGGGCTGGAGTCCTGACTCCAGGGACCCCAGATGGCTGGGGGGCTCTGAGGAGGAGCGTGTCCTGTGTCACCGGGCAGGAGCAGGAGAAGCCTTAGGGCTCCTGGGACTGGTGCTGGGGAGGGAGTGGCCCCAGGAGAGAGAGGGGCACCTGGGGGCAGCCAGCCGAGTCTTCATATCGTTGAGCTGCGGGGCCCAGCTGGCCCGGCCTTGGCCAGCACCGTGCAGTGTGTGGTGTGGCTCATGAGGCTGCTCCTGGTAACAGGCATCTTCTTCTCGTCCGGGCCTTGCTGGAAGGTGGCACGCCAGTTCACCGTCCGCGCCCTGCACAGCCTGGGCGTGGGGCGAGCACCTGCAACCCACAAAGTCCTGGAGGAACTGGAGTGGCTTATGCTGCAGCTTGACAGCTATGGAGGTGAGTGGGGCTGGACACCTCGTCCCAGGTTCCTCTCCTGAGTCCTCATGGGGGCTGGGAACCCCCCTTGCGAGGTCCCCACCGCACTTGACCCCTCTCTCACCGCCAGGACAACCCTTCCCGCTGCCCCTGCTTGGCTGGGCACCCACCAACGTCACCTTCACGTTTCTCTTTGGCCGGCGGTTTGACTACCAAGACCCCCAGTTCATCTCGCTGCTGGGCCTCATTGATGAGGTCATGGTCCTCCTGGGTTCCCCTGGCTTGCAGGTGAGGGGCCAGGCTGGGCTGTGGGCAGGACTGGGGGGCATCCCGCTAGTGTCCCTCAGCTCAGCAGGAGCCAGGTGCCACCTTGAACAAGGAGGCCTGGATTTGGGTTCCCAAGATCGCGCTAGATCCTGGCTCTGGGCCTAAGTGGCCTCGTCTCCTCATGGCAAGGGAGGGGTGCGCCTAGAGCAGGGGCCTCCAGCCTCCCCCTCCCATCAGTCACGGATGCACCTGCACAGAGGAGGGGGTGGGCAGGGCTGGGCATTTCCTCCCCAGGCCCCCAGCCCTGGCAGTCTGGGGTCTGTTCTTGCCACCCCAGTCCTCCCACCGTGATGTGACATTCAGAACGCAAGGGAGCACGTGCACTTCGTGTCTTTTATGTTCTTAACATTTTGCTTACATTTTTAACGCACCACTCTACGCTCTGTGTTGACGTAAGTGCATGCGTTTAGGTGAGTATCTGTGTCTGGAACGGGCACCCAGCTCACAAGTGCCTTTTCATGCTGACTTCCCAAGGAAGGTGATGTTTGGTGTGAGGTGGGGATGTGATGGAGGGGTTACCACCATAGCCGTGATTCACGGGGTGCCGGGGAGTGCATTTGAGTCTTCCTGCGTGTTGGTTCGAACTCTACTGAGTGAAGTGTGTGTGTGGGGGGTATAGCAGGGTGGGGGGTGGCATCCCTAGCTCCTCAGGGTGACCCTCCCTCCTTGTGAATGCTGCCTGGGCTTCTGACCCCCATGGCCAAGTTCACCTGGGGACTCTGCCCTGGAGGACAGAGCCCAGAGGGGTCAGTGTGGATGGAAAGGGGCAGCCAGTGGCCAGGGCTGGGAAGGGCCTCCTAACCTTCCACACTGTGGAGGTGCCCAGCCAACCTGCCACCAGCGAGTGCTGATGGGGGGAGGAAAATAGAACAGCTGGGTGGTGAGAGCAGCTAGCACTCGTGGAGCACCCTCTGTGTGTCTGCCAGACACCATGCTGGCCGCTGGGCCACAGCCCACCTATTTCACCCTCCAGCCACCTGTGGAAGGGAACTGTATTTGAACCCGTTTCACAGTGGGGTCGACTGAGGTTCTCAAGTGTGCTGATTCTCCCTCTTTTTCCGCGACTGCAGCAGATGCAAAGCTGTTTCCACAGAGGCAATACCCCTGCCCCACCCCCACATCTTCCCGGAAAGGGATGGAAAGGGGGGCAGAATTGCAGGCAGCTGTTTGGACTTGCATGCTCCTGGCCCAGGCGTTACCTGTTTAACTGCTCCTGTGGAGCAGTCGGAGGGCTGTCTGCCCCCGGTTCTGGGCCAGGATCCTTCTGTCCCTGGGCCTGGGGGCGGGGTCCCCTCTCCCTAGTCCTGGGGTGGCGGGTGCTGCCGGGTGCCTAGCTGTGCTGGCGCCCCCTTGTGGCCGCAGCTAGCGCGGACCCCGGACCTACGGGAGCGCTGCTGCAAACGGTGGGACAGACCCACAGACTCTCCTGGAGGTAGGGACCTGCGCCTCACCCACCGCGCCGCCCCTCTGCCTCCAGATGTTCAACGTCTTCCCCCGGCTGGGAGCCCTGCTGCAGCTACACGGGCCCGTCCTGCGCAAGGTGGAGGAGGTGCGCGCCGTCCTGAGAGCGCTCCTGGAGGCACGGCGGCGCCACCTGCTCAGAGGGGGCCCCGTGCAGGGCTACGTGGACGCCCTGATCCGGCAGGGCCAGGTGTGCGCGCACAGCGGGGCCTGCCTCGGCGCAGCCACACCCGGTCACAGTTCACCTAAGAGGCCGCCTCCTGCCTGGGGGCCTCTCTCAACCTCAGTCTCGCTAACTGTGCTGCTTCACACGGGCCCCAGGTCCCCCCTGCCTGTCGCCTGCCTCCCCCCCCCCCACCGTGGGCTCAGGGCGGTGTTGGGGTGCACGGGGCGGGGCCGGAGCTCCAGGCCCTCCACCTAGCGCCGCCGGTCTCGCCCCTGCAGGGGCAAGAACCCCCAGGCCCATTTTCCGAGGCAGACGTGGTGGCCTGCACCCTGGACTTGGTCATGGCCGGCACGGAGACCACCTCGGCCACGCTGCAGTGGGCCGCGCTCCTGATGGGCCGGTACCCACACGTGCAGGGTGAGTCCCACGCCGCCTCGGGGCGGGCCCCGGCCGTGGGCGGCAGGCTCCCACCGACTCCTGCCCTCCGCCGCCAGGCCGCGCGCAGGAGGAGCTGGACCGCGTGCTGGGCGGCCGGCGGCCGCGGCCGGAGGACCAGGCGGCGCTGCCCTACACCACGGCGGTGCTGCACGAGGTGCAGCGCTACATCACGCTCCTGCCGCACGTCCCCCGACGCACCACCGCCCCCACGCGGCTGGGCGCCTACCTGCTCCCCAAGGTGGGCCCGCGCGGCTGCTGGTCCCCGGTTCCTCCGGGGACGCACATGTGGCCGAGCCTGGGAGCGAGAAGGGGGTTCCTGGGGCACGAGGGGTGACGTGTCCCCGCCCCTGCAGGGCACGCCCGTGATCCCGCTGCTGACCTCGGTGCTGCTGGACAAGGCGCAGTGGGAGAGCCCCGGCCGCTTCAACCCTGGCCACTTCCTGGACGCCCACGGGCGCTTCGTGAAGCGGGCCGCCTTCCTGCCCTTCTCTGCAGGTACCGCGGCCCGAGGGGCGGCAGGGACCCCACCCTCCCGGGGTTGCGCCACATCCGGCGGCTGGGTCCCCGGGTCGAAGCCCTCTCCGGACCGGGACGCGCGGGGCTCGGCCAGCGCCATCTGGCGGGAAGGGCGGCCTGCCCACCGCGCGTCCGGGTCCCCGCAGGCCGCCGCGTCTGCGTTGGCGAGAGCCTGGCCAGGACCGAGCTGTTCGTGCTGTTCGCCGGCCTCGTGCAGCGTTTCCGCCTGCAGCCCCCGCCCGGCGTCGGCCCGGCCGCCCTGGACGCCTCGCCGGCCCGCGCCTTCACTTTGCGCCCGCGGGCCCAGGCCCTGTGCGCGGTGCCCCGGCGGCGCTGACAGGGGAGGACGCCCTGGCGCCCCGCGGCCCCCGACGGACAAACAGGCGCGCCATGAGGCCCTGCTGGGTCCCCCACCCACCGGCCCGCCCAGACTCATCCATGGAGCACTGGGGGGGCTCGCACGGGGGTGTCGTGCGGGGAAGCCGGCCCAGGCAGCGGGGACGGCGCCCCTCGCTCCACCCCCACCGCAGTCGGCCTTTTTCAGGTCCCGGTTGGCACTTGCCGGCGTCGCCACTAGGGGCCATCCTCCACCCGCATGGGAGCCGCCCGGTAGCTCCCTTTGGGCCGGGGTCGCTCCACGCTTCCTCCCCAGGTGGGGCCTGATGAGGATGCAGCCCAAAGCTGCCTGAGACCCCGCAGGGCCCTGGTACAGACCGGGGTCTGAGGCTGGAGGGCGGACACACCCCGCCCGAGACACGTGGCAGTCAGGCCCAAGAGCGGACACCGTGCAGGGGCTGGGCTGGGGGCTTCAGGAACGTTGTCACTGAATCCCCATGACTGAGCCCACCACTAACACCCCCTTTACGGATGAGGACCCGCGGTGACTTTCCTCAGAGGGCCTCCCGGTCTGCAAACACAGTGGGGACCAGATTACATGAATCAAGTTATTACCTGAACCCCCCCCCCCCCATCTAACTGGTGTCCCGCGTCTCCTCGGAAGGGGCTGTTCCTGGTCACGTGGTGGCCTACAACAGGGTGGGCGTCACAACAGGCAGGCTGGGACAGGCGGGGTCCTGCAGTCGGCCGGCCTGCAGTGTGGAGGTGGCCTTTGGCCTGTTCTCTGAGCGCTTGGCTCCTGTGGTGCCCGTGCCTGAGCTGGCACAGGCTGTCAACAGGAGTGGGGGCTGCAAGGCCAAGGAGGCGGCAGCCTCTAGACCAAGCATCACCCCCAAGAGCCTGAGCTCCGGTCCCCTCTCCGACTCTGCCTCTGTCCAGTCCCTGAGACCTGGGCGGGAACATGGGTGTGGCTGGCCGGCCCTGGCCAACAGCAGACCCCCATGGGGTCCCTGCCCTCAGACTCAGCTCCCAGAGGTGCTGCTGCTCAGGGACTCCCAGCCTAGGAGGTTGGTAATGCCAAACAGTAGGCAGCCTGGGAGGCTGGCCTGGCAGTGGCTAAGGGGCAGCCGGTGTGTGGGGGGGTCCCACTGCCCCAGGGCCCCCAGGACCAGGTACCCACACACAGGGCATCCCTATCAGCAAGGGAACCAGCCCAGAGGTGAGAACAGCCAGCCCCAGCAAGCAGCAGGGACAGACTGGCCTGCAGCCCAGGGGAGGAGGGCTTTGGGCTCACAGCCCTGACGTCTGCAGGTCCGGGAAGCTTCCTCGGGGCCCTCCGGGGGAGGGGCACGGATACGGGGCTCAGCTGTGCCGTCACGTTTCTGGGGAAGAGCGCCATTGAGCTGAGGGCGTTGAGCTGGGGGGACTGCTCCTGTGACTGGTCTCTTGCCTGTTTGAACTTGACGTTTAGGTAAATTATAGAGCTGGAGAGAGACGAGGTGAGGGCGAGACAGAGAGGGAGCCCTGGGAACAGGAGGGAGCTCCCCACTCCCCACACCCCCTCCTCTCCCAAGCCCCCACAGACCCCCACCCAGTGTCCAGGGTTGGTGGGGCTGTCAGATTCACTCAAAGGAGCCACGTGCAGCTGGCCCAAATGGGTCTGTTTTATTGACTGTGGTCTGGGGCCCACTCCACATGGGGCAGGGGACCAGGAAGGAGCCACAGAACGACCCAGGCACAGGGCCCCCCACCACACTGACCACACTGGGGGCACAGCTCTGGGCCAACTTCTGAGAAAGTCCCCGTGGGAAGAGAGATTTCGGCAACAAAGTCTCCCTGCCCAATGCCCACGGCCGCCCCGGAGGGAAACCAAGGCTTGGATGTGTCCCTATCTGATGCCACCAGAGGCTGCCAAAGGGGAAACCAAGGCTTGGACGTGGCTCTTGCCGCCAGAGGCGGCAGCTGGGGGTGGGTGTCTTCTGTGGGTGGGCCTGGAAACCAGAAGCCCAGCTCCATACCAGCCTCTGTCACCTGGGAGGTAGCTTCATTGCACCTCGTCCAAGGACGGCCCCGTCACTAGGAGAGCAGCTGAAGCACCTGCCGTATACGCTGGGCCTGCCCCAGCAGGAGGGCGTCTGGGCCACCAGCCCCCACCGCGTCTAGCTCCTGCATCCGGGCCTCAGCCTTCTGCACAGTCAGCTCTCGGGCCTGGCCCTTCAACCCCTCCAGGTAGGCCAGCAGGGTAGGAAAGTACTCATCAGGAACCTGAACAGAGAGATGGACTGGTGAGGCACGGGGAGGAGGGCAGGGCGCCGGGGCTGGGCTGCAGTCAGACCCCGAGATGGGAAAGCAAGGTGCCTGCAGCACGGGACCCCTACGGAGGCAGGAGGGTGGGGTGACCACATGGCATCACCTCACGAAAGGCAGGGCTGAGACCAGCATCTGGGCCTCAAATCCCACCTGCCCTCATTTGGTCTAATTGCTCTTGGGTGGCAAGAGGCGGAGGCAGGTCCGGCCCAGGGAGGCCCAGCCTGCCAGAGTCTCTCCTTGGCCCCAACCTGGTCCTACAGACCACACCTGTTTCCAGGGCCCTGAAATCCCAGGGGATACACAAGACCTGCCTTCCGTACTGAAGGGATAACCTGGTGGGTTGAGAGAGAAAGAGGAGACCAGACACGAGGTTCTGGGTGGGGAAGCTGACAGGAGGCGCGTGCCCACTTCCCAGGTGGAAGGAGCACCAAGCTCCCAGCAGCATGGAAAGAGACCCAGCTCCCGCTGGCCCAGAGCCAGCTGGGTGGTCGCTTCTACAAGTGGCTGAAATCCAGTACCAAGCCAGGCTTCCCACTTCCGATTCCAGAACTCAGCACAAAGCTGCAGTGATCAGGACTTGGCTGCGGGGGTGCCGGCTCAAGCGGGCCCCATGCCCGGGGCGGGCTTCAGACTCAGCTCAAAGGGTCCTCCCTCCCAAGGTGGCCCTGTGCCTGAGACTGACAACCCCATCACACGTACACGGGGCGCCCTGGAGCTCGCGAGGCAGGAGTCACACAGCCGAATAAACTTCCGTGACAGTGACAGGGCTGATGGAAGTTGGTGGGTGTGTGCTTGGGAGGGCAAGCACTTGCTCATGGTGGTGCTATAAAGACGGAACGTGGGTGGGTGACACGATGGCGTGAGGCCAATCACCAAGGGCTAAGCCGTGGAGGTGAGAGTGGAGAGAAGCGGGTCTCCCCCACAGGACCAGCATCGCTCATCAACAGACCAGCAGCCCCGGACAGACCCACAGCAAGCGGCCTCTCTGCAGTGACCCGAGTCAGTCCCTGCCGGGGGGCTCCGTTCCCTATGCAGAGCGAGGGGCAGGACTGAGGGGTCCAAGGGCCTGGTGACATTCCCTGACAACCGAGCTCTCCCAGGGCTTCATGGCCAGGGTCTCAGCCTGGCTGGCCCGCGGGGCAGGGCATGCACACGGCCCACAATGAAGAGCCTATGGGCTACCCCCACCCTGCCCCAAGCCCCCTCCCCGCCCCATGCAGACCTTGTTGCTGTCATACATGTGGACCAGGAGCCATGTTTGCCGTGTCTTCTGGAACTTCCACTTCTGGTGCTTCTGGGCCCAGCTAGGGAAACAAGGGGCATGTCAGGGGCGGAACAGGGAGACCCCCTTCAGGGTCGGCCCCACACCTGGGCGGTGCCCACCCTCGGCTGATACAAGCAAGAGGCAGGGCTGGGCCATCGCACCCCTGGGGACTGAGGATGGCAGGCCTGATTCCACGATCCTGTTACCATCCCGGGCTCTGGGTTTGCTCAGAGTCCACTGTCCCCTGACGAGTTTGTTGGCCAAAGCGGCCAGCTATCTGCTAGTGAAACATTTCCCAGCACACACGAGAATGGCAAAGTAGGGCTCAGCCAGACCAGCCTGCCTCAGGGGCTCCCACTGGCTCCTGGGACGTGGAAGTGGGATGCCCAAGATGAAGGGCCATCACCAAGCCACTGAGGTTGTACGCAGGAGACGGCCCTGTGTCCCAGAGCCACCGTGAGCCCTTCCCAGTCCCCGAACCCAGGGCTACTACCTCATCTGGAAAACTGAGCCCTATCTTTTGCCAGGTCAGGGGGTGGGATCACCCTCTCTATAGCAGTGCCTGCCTGAGAAGAGGTGGGGGCTCTGGACACACCCTTATGAGGAGCCTTGCGGCTGTGTGGGCGGACAGCCCTCTGCCAGTGTGTGGAGCTGTGAGAGCGGGACTTGCTTCCAGGAGAGCCCATTAGAACACACACCTACATGTCCCGGGAGAAGCGTCTCCTCAAATGCCGTCTCTCACCCCTCACCTGACAATCCAGTCTCTACTCACCTGCCGGGCCCAGGCAGGTGTGGGCTCCTCGCCTCTGCATGAAGCAGAGTGGGATAACAGAGGGACCCGGCGCCCCTCCTCAGCCTGGGTCTCCATCAGCCCTTCCCACACCGCCGCATGCCCATGAAGCTCACAGCCCGTCCCCTGGGCACTGGGTGGAGAACTCCGTACCCAGAGAGGTAGTCCAGGGCCAGCGTGGCCCCCGAGGACGCGGGCACAGGTGTGGCAGGGGCTGGTGTGGCGGGGTGGCCCCCCGCTTCCCGCAGGCGCTGCTTCTCCTCCTTCCTCCGCTCCTTCTTCCGTTTCCGCTCCAGGGCCCGCAGCGCCACCGCGGACTGAGATGGCACCGGGTTCATCTCCAGCACCTCACGGCTCTCTGCCCTGATCTGAAAATCGGGATTGCAGCTCCGTCAGGCCTCTGGGAAGCACCCCTCCCCCGCCCCTCACTCCCACGCTGGGGGTGGGGGTGGGCCACAGGGCCCTAAGTCCTGTGGGGACGGCTAGGCTCAGGGCTGCTTAAGCTGCTTGTTTAAAACAACGGCTTTCAGGACCCTGCCCTAACCAGCAGACCGAGTCCTGCGTCCCCAGGCCAGTGCTGTCTCATCTGGGGCGGGGCGGAGGGCTTGGGAGATGTTCACACCTCCAGTGAACGACCAGACCGACCATCCCTTGTATGCGTGCACAGCCCTCCTTGGTGCGGGGCCTTGTGCTAGGTGGGACATGGTCCTGGGCCAGCCATCCTGGGGACCCCAGGAGACCTGTGCGCAGGTCTGAACCTTCATTCCTGGTGCCTCATTCTCCCCCAGTCCTGCCTGAGCTGATGGCTTGGGTTCTTCCAGCCCCACTGGGCTCCCTCCCCCAGTCCCCACACCTCTTAGGTGGGCTGTGGTCTCTTCCCAGCTGCATCCCCCTACCTCCACGCCCACCCCCTCCCCAAAATAACAAAACAGAGAACCCAGGAGGGAGAGTGGCAGTGCAGCCACCCCGGTCAGGGAGGGGCCGCTGCGAGGCTGCAGCTGTCCACAACCCAGCCCTTCCTGGAACGCTGAAAAGCAGTGTTTACTGGGAGCGGGCCTGGGGCCTAAGAGGAAACGTCCTGGGGGTTGGGGTCTGGGATCCGAGCCACTGCCTCCAGGAAGGTGAGCCCCCTTGCCAGCCCAGCTGCCCCTTCCAGCCTTCTCAGGCTCTCTCCTGCTTCCACCCTCTCCTGCTGCCCACCTGTCTCCAGCAGGCCCCTGGTAAATGCCAATCCCACAACCTTTGTGCTGACCCTGAGCACAGCACACAACCCCCCCCCCCCCAGAATCTTCTGAAAGGTGCTCTCTGCCCATGACGGAAACCTTAGGGGAGCACCCGTGCACCCACCCTTCCTGCAGGAGTCAGCCCTTGAGGCCTCCACCCTTGGTGTCCGTCTGTCACAGCATAGGCCACTCAGCATGGCCCACCTTGAGCAGGGGAGGTTTTGGGCCGTGGGTGTGGTTGACCCAGTGGCTGGTGTCCTTCCCGAGTCACACAGAGGACTGACTCGGACACAGGTGACAAGAGGCAGCTGAGGGCCGGGTGAAGAGCAGGAAGGACCCCTGAGGGTGGCCATGCGCCCTGCCCAGTGCAGAGCTGCCTGGACTTCCTGGTGACTCCTTTCAGAACCCCAGGGCTGCACAGGTCGCCAAGCAGATGAATAGTGTCTCCCTGCTCCAGCAGTTGTCAGCATATGACGGTTGAATGTCAACAGCCTGACGCCTTCAGTTACAGAATGTGAGGTGCTGACTCAGGACAAGGGAACGTTCCAGCAACCAATAGTGAGCGGGACACAGTGTGTTCCCATTGACTCTGAAAACAGGCTCATTATCTTGAGGCCACTGTAGACTCACGTCACTAAGGCCCACGGTGACCCCACGCCTCTTCCCGTGGGGTAAACTTGTGAAACCTCAGGACCTGCAGGGTCTCCCGCGATCAGAGACGTGAGGTCAACAAGGTCCATCATAGTCAACAAGGCACAAGCTTACATCCTGCAAACCTCACTCTCCCACCAAGAAGGAAAAAGGCAACCCTGTGCCCAGAACCAAGCGTGAGTGACCCTCAGCAACCGCCTGGCCCACCTGCTGGCTCCTCCTCCCCTCCTAGGGGAACCCAGGAAGTCGGCTCTTTGTAACAACGTAAGCCAACATTAAACCAGCCTCTGGAGACCAGACACAGCATTGGTCCCGCCTGCTCACCGCACAAGCCGCTGCTGGCCAGATAGCTGAGCAGGGCCTGTCCCCAACACGCCCTGAGCTGGTCACCTCGAGCAGAGAATGAGGCCGACTTCTGCGGGGGCAGCCGCCTCTCCGGGTTGGGCGCTGCATGGAGACAGACGCGGGCTCTGCCCTCGGGGAGCTCACAGCCAGACACGTGAGCTCCTGGAGGACAGGGATAGCGGCTGACTCGGGGTCCCAGCACCCGCGGCAGGCACGGGCGCAGACACGGTCGGCTATGAGGCGTCCTTGCTGGCACTGCTCCTGGGAGAGGAGGCATCGGTCACGGTGGCGGTGGAGCCTGGGGTCCAGGGGCCAGCCTGTGACCTGTGATCTGTGCAGGCCACAGGGTCAGGGTAGGGGTCAGAGACTCAGGGTGTGGCTCACAGCCCAGATTCAGGGTACAGGCCACAGCCTTGGGGTACAGGTCTGAGATGGAAGCAGATGGGACAGCACCATAGCAACCTTACAGTAGAGGGGCCTCACTAACAAGTTGGGACCTGGCTGAGCAGCCTGACAACCCTGCAGCTGGTGAGCAGTGAGACACCCCCCTGCAATGACCCATGACAATGCTGCATCTACTGCTAGCAGCAAGGGACCCCCACATGGGGGGAGGAGATGCCACGTCTCAGTGAGGGGTCAACGAGAACAAAGACCCTGCAGACCCTCAATGTGGGAGCAAAAGAACAGGTCTGACGTAGCCCCCACTTCCCCCAGCAGACATGTGCCCTGGGGCGTCCCCAAGCCCCTCATCTTTCCCACAAGGCCTGGATGCAAACCTGGGACTCTCCCCACAGGCACACGTACAGAGAAAGGCCTGTGATCGCAGGATTCTGGGAAGACGCGAACTCTGAGCCTGCTCTCACCCAGAGAAGACTGCACGGTGGGTGATCACCCAGGCCTTGGCACAGGCCAGTCCTCTGGGAGAAACTTCCAGAACACCTCTCTGAAGGCCCCTCTGTGGCCCTGGCTGACATGGGAGTGCCTCCTGTCCCCAGAAAATTTCACTCTGGTGCTGGGGTCACCTCCACCTTCCTCACCAGGACTCAAAAAGGGGGCCTGGCTCAGGATGGCCCATGTGGGAAGCCGCCAGGCCGTCAGGAGCCAGGAAATGCCCCCAAGGTGCAGGCATGGGCAACACAGCCCGCATCACAATCCCGGGGCGCAGTGGAAAGGGGCGGCCAGCTGGGGGCGCGCTGCTGGAGCCCGGGGCGAGGCTGGAGCAGCGCCATCACGAGCCCAGTGGCACCGTGTCAGGAGGACACAGGGCACTGTTTTCTCCAGGCTGTGCTCCTAACCCGAGGGCTGAAATGAGAACGGACACGAGAAAGCGTGTTCCCGCCACGTGCAGGGGGCACCCAAGGGCACGTGGCTGCACGTCTGGACGGAACATACACTTCAGTCCCACAGGCTGCGTGCCCCATGGCCGGTGCGCACCAGGACTGCCCCGGACAGCGTGCTTCCTCTTGGAGGACGACGGGCGGAGAGATCCCGGAGGAGTAGCCATGATGTCCAGGGCGGTGACAGCTGCAGTTCAGCAGGGCTCCGGTGCGCACCCCGGTCCAGTTCTAGCCTCGGCCGCTCCATCCTGCCTGGGTGACCGAGCAGGACCCAAGGCTGCCCCGCCTTTAGCGCAGGAGGCCGAGCTGGCAGCCAGCCACGTAGCACGCTGGTCGGGTCAGGAATCACGTCCCACACGCGGGAGTCGCTTCTAAACAGCCGGTGAGAAGCCAGCTGTCGGTCCTGCTGTTTTATGAGAATCAGACGCTTGCAGTCTGAACGACGTATCACAAAACTACAAGTACAAACGCCTGCCCGCTTTAGGGCGCGGAGCCCGGCTGAGGGCCCGCCCCGGCGGAGACGGTGGACAGCGCCTCCCTCGGAGAGAAAAACCACTCCTGACCTCGGGGTGCACGGTGCAAACGCCAAAAGGAGACTCGCACACCCGGGCCCGCGCAGCCCCCTACCGGCCCTGCCAGGCCCCGAAAGGCCGGAGCCGCACACAGGGCGGGTACCAGCACCCTGAGGGTCCAGCGCCGCCTGCTGACCCTGCTCGCGGCGTGCCACCGTCAGCTTGCTCACCGGCCCTTCAAAGCAGCCCGTCGCGTGGGGAACCCGCCAGGGCTCAGGTTTGTCTCCTGGCAACAACGCGGGAGCATGCGCGGGCCGCAGACACACGCCACCCCCGCTCACACGAGCCGGGACACGTGGGGCACTGCGGCTGCCGGCGGGGCCTCCCCGTGGGCCGCCCCCGCACAGCACGGCCGCGCAAGCCAACCCCTGGGCTACGCGAAAAAGCGGGGTCTCGGGCTAAGAGAGCTTGGCCAGGATCACGCGGCTGCCGGTGGCGCCGCCGGGAAGGGGCGGCCGGCTTGGGGCGCGCTGCCGGAGCCCAGGGCGAGGCCGGAGCAGCGCCATGTCTGCTCGGCCTGCTCCGCGCGATCCAACGACCGCCTGTGGGGCCGGACCGGAAGACCCCGACCCGGGCGGCAGCGGCGCCTCCCCGACGACCCCGCCGAGCAGGAGGCTGCGGGCCTCGCGGGACGGAGGGCCGGGCTCCCCGGCGGCTCCCATCCCCGCCCTTGGCCCGGGTCCCTCCAGTGTCGGGGCACTGACCTCCGCGCCGCGGGCTGTCAGCTCTGCTCAGAACACGAACGGCACCGAGAAAGCCCACGAAGCCCTCGCACCCCTCGGCGGCCCGACCGGGCCCCAACGCGCCTGCAGCCCCCGCGCACTGCGCATGTCCGCCCACCCCACACACTGCGCAGGCGTCAAACCCACGCGACGGAACCAGATCTAACCGGCCTAGGCCGGGACGGAAGCGCGGCCGGAGCTTGCTAGGCGGGCGGAGCTTCCGGGAGGCGCCGGTGGCGCGTGTGGGCGGGGACAGAGGCGGGGCCGGCGGAGGCCCGGTCCCGGCGTCGCGGCGGCTGGCAGTACCCGGACTAGCGCTCCGAGTCAGAGCGAAGGGAGAGCTGGCTGCTGCCTGGCGCGCCGCGCGTCGGCGCCTCTGGGGCGGAGACTACGGGTGAAACCGAGCCCTGGCCGGGAGGCGGCACACGCGGAAGCACGCGCAGGGGTCGGTGCCAGGCTCCACGGCGGCTCCCACTGCTCCGCCCTGAGCAGGTACCCAAGTCAGACAGCAAAGCCGGGTTCCGCCGCCGGCGCGCCGCCCGCCGCCCCCACCGACAGAAGTGGTCCGGGACACTCGCCCGTCCACTCCCCATCCTCCTCAGGGGAGCCCTAGCACGGTGCACCCCGCAATGCCAGGGTGCCCGGGAGATGGCACCCCTGCGCAGCCCTCATGTGCTGCCGGCATCACCCCTCCACAAGGGCTGAAATCAGCACACGCCCAGGGCTGGGAGGACGCGAGGGCGGCGCCGCTCCCACTCCTTGCCGGTGCGCCACCCAGCGATCCCACTCCGGCCCTTATCTTGGAGGAACCGGGACAGTCCACGAAGAGCCCTGCCCTAGCACTCGCAGCAGCCTGGTCCCCAGGAGCGAGTGGGGAAGCCACAATGGTGGCCTGTGCTGGAAAAGGGGTTACGCCAACACCGGTGTGTCCAAGCTCGGGAAGGAGCCGCAGACACACCTTGTGGAGGCCTCAGGGCGCCGTGCCGAGGGATAGAAGGCCCCGGACTGCGTGAGGGCCTCGCTACACAATATTCCCTGAAACGGCTCTGTTACAGACAAGGAGAAAAAATGGGTGGCTCCAGGGATCAGGGGTGGGGAGGTGCTTCACGCACACCTTTTGTCAGTGTTTTGATACTAACGCTGCTTACTGTGGGTCCGTGCCGCTGAGGGGCTCACCTCCCGTCTGGGATAAGAGCCCCCCCTGCACAGGGCCCTGGACCTGCCTGCCTTCACCTGGACGCGTGTACCCTGTTAAAATAAAACCACCACCCCAGCCATGCTGGGGCAGCCACGCTGCGCCACGGCCTGGAGCCCCTCATTGCCTGAGGCGGTTCTGGAAGGGGCTCCCTGCCTAAATCCTCCACTCGCTCTCCTGCCTGTGGGGCTGGCCGCCTCCCAGCTTCAACACTCCTGGGCCGCTGAGGCGCAGCTGTCCGCAGAGAGCAGCTTCAGCCCGGCTCTGTCCTGGGCCCCGTCCCCTCCCACCGCCTGCAGAAAGTACTTGCTGTGTGGACTAGTTTTAATTTTGATGTGAGGTTTGGAGAGAACGGATGCCTGGAACATTCTAGTTCTGCAGCTATGCTGTCTCCCCTGTACTCTGAGCTCTGGCCTCTGCAGAGCCACACAAGTGTGGATGCTTCATGGGAGTGTCATGAGCTCTTTTAGCTCTGCTGACAGGGGCATGGCGGGATGGTCCATTGACCTGGCCTCACTGCACATGCAGGCTCAGCTGAAGTCACTAGTCGGGAAAACCTTGTTATCCTGAACCATGCGCTCAATAACTAACGTGTTGCTTACGAATGCTGCCTTCAATCAAATTTCCAAGCTTCCCTGTGAATGAGGTCACCACCAGTTGGCACGTCTCGCCTTTCAGCCTGAGCACCTGTCACCAACCACATTTCTGCCCCCGCCCGAGAAAGACCCAAGACAGCCAGGGCCCAGGTGGCTCTCAGGTTCCTGGCCAGCAGCCCCAAGCCCATGGAGTAGACACACGAGAGCTTATCAACGGCCCCTCCTGAAACCAGAGCCCAGCCAGGGCTAGGGAGTGTGGGCAGGGACTGCTGCTGATTGTACGCATGCAAGGACATGCCCAGCTCAGCCCTGGTCCCATGACTCCTGCTTTCTCTGAGGCCTCACCTGGGGCACTGGCACTGTAGTCAGAAGCTTGAGGAGTGGGCCCAGTTCTGCCCTGCCCCCACGCCAGCAGAAGGTGCCCATGCTACCAGCTGTAACACGTCTCGGCCTGCCACGGGGGGCTTGCTCCGAGGTATCCCACCACACACAGGCTTTCGGCCACTCTCCCCACAGATAACAGCCTGCCTTTGGGACCTGTGGTCCCCCACCCCCTTTACAAACAGCACTTGATGTTCCAGGAAGTCCTGGAGTGTAAGCCCTGAATATAGTGGTGGTCAGGCCACTGTCTTGGGCAGCAGATTCATGTGGCTGTTGGCCACCCTTGAATTAGCCTTACGGTGACCCTGTGTGTAGCAGAATGAAACCCTGCAGGTCCCCAACGTCCCCAGGACCAGTTGCAGATCAGACCGTTGTGACCAGAGTCTGGCAGTGGCTGGCTGACCATCAGCAGGCCTTTCTCCCCAGTCTGAGTCAGGAAGCCGCACCGACACCCATTCAGTATCACAGCAACATGCTGGCCTCCACACACAGTGGACAGACGGTGGTGGCTGCACATGAGGGGAGCACTGCACGCCTGTGCCACCCCCACCCCACAGTGACTGTCAGGAGAAAGCTCCCCGATGCCAGCCTGATGCATCACCCGGGCACATCCAGCCCTGAGCACCTGTCGAGGGAGGCGAGGGACCTGGACTTTACTGATGCCAGAGTCTTCATTCCTCCTCCATTCAACATTCCCAACCCATGATTTAGAGCCCTGGGGTATCTCTGCTTTGTAGCTACATAAAGCATTGTGCCCTTTCTGTTTATAAATCCTGGATTCGAGGAAACAAGGGAGTCTCCTCCTTAAAAGGTGTTTGTGGGGGCTTTGAGTGGAACTGGCCAGAGTGAGCTACCAGGAGCCCTTGGTGCCGGTGTTGGCCTAACAAGGACCGTTCAGCAAGCAAGGTCAGCACCGATGGCCTTTTAGGCCACGTGGCTACTGCAGCATCCCTGCCACTAAAGCAGCTTGGTAGTGGGATATGGGAGCAGCTTGGGGGTGGCCCAGGGGTCCCCCCAGTGCCCTGAAGAGAGGTTGAGGCTCCGCTCTTCATCCAGGGTGGGGAACCTGGCCCGGGTTGACACCAGCTTTGCGCTCTGGTCTTGTGGGCGGGTGCCCAGCGTGGGTGGGGCAGGGCCAGCTGTGGGGTGCCTCCTATCGGCCCCTTCCACCCGGTCGCCCCGCAAACCTGCACTCCATTTGCAAGCTTCACCCTGGGGTTTTCAGGAGATGTTCTTGAATCCCGAGTCCGATGTGCAGCCTGCCAGGGTGCGTTCCCCCCCCCCCCCGAGTCTCAGCAGAGGGGGCACCGCCCAGCGTGTCCCTCCGGCTCTCCTGTGTGCTTCTATCTCTTAAGTGCTTTCCTGGGGCCGGCTCAGCTGACAGAGAACTTCCCCAAACCGGAAGCTAGGAGAGAGAAGCAGGTGTCGCTTCCCTTGGGGTGGGGGTCTGCACCCCAGACTAGCGTGCCAGTGACTCAGCAGCAGGACACATCGAGTGGGCACCACAGTCCTGCGACGTCCCCCAGGTCTGGGGTTTGTGGCGCTGCGCCGGCAACTGTAGGGCCCCTCTGCGCTTGGCCGGTGTCGGGTTACATAACGGGTCCTCGGCCACCACCCAGCCCCACGGTCGGAAGCCGCTCAGGGACCAATGGCCGGCAGCACTGCCTCGGGGCGGCTGGGGGGCGGGGCGGTCACGTGTGTACACAGGGCCAGGGCGGCGTGTGAGCCGTGAGCAGCGGCGAGGGGAGCCCGCAGTGGCGGAGCCCGGCCTGCCAGCCCACGGGGACAACAAGCGGTGAGTGAGGGGGCCAGGGCAACTGGGGGCTGTGCTCGTCCCATGGACACACCGTGCTCTGGGTCCAGTCCGCGCCCCGGCTTGTCTGTCCCTGAGTGTCGCCAGTATGGTTGTGGGCACCGTCTCGGGGGGCATGGGCCAGTGAGCAGCCCGGGCCTCTCAGCTCTCTGCCAGCTCTTCGGTGTCCTGCAGGTCTCATGACCTGATTCTGGGCCGCTGGGTTATTACTGTGGGGAATCCCTTGGTGAGTTCTGGAGCCGTGTCTAGGTAGAGTGAGCCAGCTGAGCTTGGCCGTCTTGGGCAGTATGTGTCGGAATAGAAGCCCCTGCTGGACAGGCTGCGGGGCCCTTTCGCATCTCCAGGCTCCTTCCTGCAGGTACTGCCCTCCCTGGAGCAGGGCTTTGGACCCTGTCACCTGTCCAGCAGGGCAGGCCTTTAGCAGCAAGGTGGCCACAGTCTGCTGGGCTGGCTTCTGGGATGCACGCCATGGAGAGAGGCTCCAAGCAGGCCTCCCAGCTAGTCATACAGAATGGGGGTGGCCAGATACTTTATTGTCCAAACTGGGGCACCTCTGCACAGGGACAGTTATCACACAGGGCCTAGCTGGTGCCAGGACCACGTCCTAAACAGAGTAGGCCGTGGGGACCATGCTTCAGAGAAGAGCTGCCCTGGTGGGGCCTGTTCCTGGTAGCACCCTGAGGGAGTGTGGGATGCACTAGGCTGGGTGAGAGAGGTGGGCACACGGGGGTTCCGGGCTTGGACGTCAGTGCTGGTGGAAGGAGCCCTGCGTGTGAGATGGGATCCAGAACAGTGACTGACACTTGGCCACCGACGACCCACCACGCGGCCAAATGTACCTCGGGGCCGACAGGGAGGCTGCAGCATGGGGAAGTTGTCCCCCGAGAGTCAAGCCCAGTGTGGAAGTGGATACAGTGGCCAGACCGCACGGCCCCTCTGGGAAGCAGCTGAAGCCACTCCGACCCTGCCAACCAGCACCGAGAACCCTGGGGGCTGGGATGGACAATGAAAGGGGAGCTCACGCTCACTCGAGATGCCCGGAGAGGTGCTGCCGGGAGCAGGGTGCTCCTTCAGGACAGCCGCCCAGGGGCCGCTGAGGACAAGAGCACCCAGGGTCACCAAAGGCCCTGCTGTTCAGAGACCCAGCGTGAAGGGCGAAAGCTACTACCGGCTCCTCCTTTGGAAGGTCCCTGCCGCCTCAGGATGGTCTGTGGCTGAAAACTTCCCTCTAGGTGGGACCATGCCTGGCAGGGGCCGAGGCCCAAACCCGGAACAAGACCCGATCTGGCCTCAGTGCCCTGGGGAGTTTTCTGTCTGCCCCCAGGCCTGGCTGCACACCAAGCTAGGAGGGAACAAAAGGGCTGGGGCAGACAGAGGCTGAGCCAGCCCAGCTGTGGCGCTGGGCAGCCCCACGGGGAGAGGGCCCGCGTCTGTCCACGCTGGCCACCTCCGCCCCTCCTGCATACAGCAGTGCTGCAGGCGTGCATACGCTGTGCCGATGGCGCCCCAGAAGGGGCCGCGTGTGCGACTGTGTCAGAGTACATCTGTGCTTGTGGAAGCAGCAGGCTTTCAGCACCCATCCAGGGGCACTTCCAGAGCAGCCGATGTGCCAGAGTGTTGTTCCAGAGCTGAGCGGCCCCTCTGCTAAGAGACTCGAGCGTCTAGCCCAGCAACTCCCTCCTCCTCGGGGGCACTGCCCAACTGCAGCCCAGACAACAGGAGGCACCCCCCGTCTGCTGTCCTTCCTAGTCAGTGCGAAATCCTGTCTCTCACCTGGAAAGCCTTTTAAGTCACTGACGTGTCTCTCCCATGTTTCACTGCACACATCTGCTCTAAGCCAGGCTGCTGGGTACCGTCAAAGGCTCCCTGCCTCCACAGCATGCTCGGTGGGCAGGAAGGAGAGGCGACCAGTGACAGACAGCTGTCACTCAGCAAAACTGACTGGGGCTGTGTGGAGATGAGGCTGGGAGAGATGGGGCCAGGCCAAGTGCTCCAGGCAGGGTTAGCATGCGAGAGCCAACAGTAACACAGTGACCAGGGGGAGGGACAGCCGGCATGGGGCCCTTGGCCGAGGCGGGCCTGCTGGGGGCCGCTCCAAGGGGCCCGAGTGCGACAGCTAGAATCTGCTTCATAGAGCCAGGGAACAGCAGGTGGCGGTTCTGGAGAAATGAGTTCAGCTACCTCAGAACTGGACGCCTTCTTGTTGGTCTGTCGCCTTCACCGGCTCTGTGTGGTGCACACACAAACATACTGACATGGGCTCAAATACACATGCATTCAGTCACACACGCAACCACGCATATGCACCCTGCATAGGTTCTGCCATGCACTCACACGTGTGCACTTCCTCCCACACATGCACTCACATAGGTACACACACGTGCTCACATATGCATGCTTGTGTCCACAGACCCCCTGGGAGTCCACCACAACACTACCTGTCACCGCCAACCCACAGTCCATCAACCTCCCCAATCTGCCACTCCGCTGGGACTACCAAATCCACTGAGCTCGCAGGCACCACTATGGCCGGCCTGGATTGGGCCCTCTAGGGTCTTTCTCACAAAGCCAGGCAGGCAGATGCCAGGGTTTCTCTAGGAAGAACCTGCCAGTTCCCCTTGGTGGTCCGTGATCCCTGTGGGAAGAAGTCTTGGTGCATGTGGCTGACTCAGCCGTGCAGGAGGAATCCACCCTGACAGCCCCTGCATGTAACAGTCACCCACGGGCCCAGAAGCTGCAAAGCTGGGGTGCAGGGGCAGGAGCTGAGGACTGTGTCCCAGCCCGTGCTGTTCGGAAATCGTGACCGTGTCGGAGAAGCTGGGTCTTGAAGCCTGACAGAGTGCCGTCATCCCTGAGCACCACGGTCCGGACTCTGCTCCCTACAGCTGTCTGTCCATTGGCAGGGACTCTGTGTGGGCGTCTGTGGAGCAGCCCTTGCACGTGGTAAGAGAGGAAGGAAGCTGAAGGCCCTGCAGGAACCCACCAAGCCGTACGCCAATGGCCAGGCCCAGGGCTGCGTGCTGAGTGTGCTGTGGGCTGACAGGCTCCGTCTTAACTACCTCAGGACATTTTCCTCAGGCTGAGAAAACCACAGGACAAGGCATGTAACCAGCTTGTCACAGATTAGCTGGGACTCGAATCCTGCCCGTTTGGCTGTGGGATGGAGGAGGCACCTGGATGCTAACGGGTGCGGGTGTTTGCATAGGCAGGGCTCCTTGGAGACCATGGGCCTGGGCTTCCGTGTGAGTGAGCTGGCTTCAGAGCACCCACGTGTGCCTCTGGGCAGATGAGTGAGTTGGGCCAGGTGTCACCAATGCACCTGTCTGACCCCCCTGCTGTCACGGGTCTGGACAGGCCACTGTGCCCAGGTGAAGTGCCCACCCGTCTCTTGCCTTGTCCCTGTCTCGGAGACTCGCAACTGAGAGAGATCAGGAGGTCAGGAAAGCAGACAGAAAGCTGAGGACATCCCAGGCCCCCTGAGGTGGGTCAGCCTGACCCTGGGGTAGTCTGTGAGTGAGGGGAGGTCCAGGAGGCTGGGACAGTACAGGCACTCCCTCAGAGGTAACCGCTTTTAGTGCTCTGGCCTGGTGAGTGGGCTATGCTGAGTGTCTGGGAGAGGAATGATTTCAGAGGTGGGAGAGGCCAGACCAGGAAGGAGAGTACGTGGCCAGACAGGTCAGTGTGGCTCTGAGGACAGGGAGTGGGTGGCAGGCCAGGCTGTGAGAGCGGGAGGGGAGGAGCCATGGGGAAGGCGGGTCAGGAACCCTGTGAAGTGGGTCAGGAACCCTGACCTCAGTCAGAACGTGGTGGCTTCCAGATGGACACTGCAGGGTGAGGCTTGAGAGAGCACAGAGGGCCCCACATGTGCCAGGGTCACAGGGACCTAGAGGAGTCACCCACCTAGGCCTTGGGACCATCCTCCTCCTCCCCCATGTCTCCTTGGCGAGCTTGGGGCTTCGTGTCTCAGACCTGCTTCTGAAAGCATGTTCTGGGGGCGCCTCCACCTCCTGCCTCCCACCGCTGTCCAAAGAGCCGACTCAGGGACAGAGACCACTGTCTCGCTGCTGGGAAGAGCCTTGGAGCCTCCAGGCCACCTCCTACCCCAGCACTGCAGCTGGCACAGGGCCTGCTTGGCAAAGTCTTGCAGGGCAGTGCCCACCAGGGAGCAGGAGGGAAGTGCCTCCGTGACTGCCCCGTCCGTGACTGCCCCGTGGCTGGAAGAGCCGGGACGTCTGCTGTGCTGCCCACAGGGCTACCCCACGGGGGCAGCTGCCACCGGCCAAGCTGCCGAGAGCCATTCACAAGTGCGTGACGGCTGGGGACCAGAGGCCCTGGGGAGGGCTGCTGCCCTGTTCTTGGGGTACAATGGCCTGGGCCGACTGCCTTCTGCACTGCCAGCCATCGGCCAACAAGCAGAGCTGGGGGCTTGGTGTGAAGGAAGCTGTTCTGCCAGGTGCTGACCTGGACCACTGTGGGTACCACCTGCCCAGCTGGGGGCAGTGTCCACTCAGACAAGCGGTTATGGGCCCACTGCTGCCGCCACATGCGCCCACCTCCCATTCCACCTTCTCCTTCCTTTGTGAACAAGCAGGGTGCCAGCACAGGAATGCAGGGTACATGGTGACGGTGGGAGCGGACGCCCCCAATGTGACTGGGTGGCTGAGCAAGGCGCTGGGTGAGTGGAGACGCGGCCGGAGGGAGCGTGGAGTCAGCTGGTACCAACGTGAGTGTGCTTAGTGAAATGGAAGTGGAAGCCGGCAGAGAACAGAGAAGGTGTTTCATGAGGCCAGTTGGGGACAGGTCTCCCCGGACACTCACGGCAGGCGCTGGTTGCTTTCCCCTGTAAGCCACGCTCGCTTCAGGAACGTTCTGTCTGTGGGCCGAGTCTGCAGTACAAGCCTCCGTGCCCTGTACCACTGCCACAGAGCAGGTCAGAGCCGAGCACCGAGATGGCCTGGAGCTCGGCCCACAGCTCTGGCAACCCACCCTTCACTTAACGTTTTGTCAGGAAGCTCACAGCAAAATGTGAACTATGCAGGTGTGTTCTCTGGCCAGACGGAGAGTCGGGATGCCCCTCGCGACCTGGGCCAGGTGTTCATAGTTTAGGGCACAGCCAGGGCCCCACAGGGCAGCTCTTGTCCACTCACAGCCACGCTTGGGCTCAATGGCACTGGGGTCCCATGAGGAGCCCGCAGAATACACACTCGGCCTTAGTGGCACCAGGGGCCCATGAGGAGCCCACAGAACACACACGCCTTCTGCTCGCTGTCAACGCCCCCCGATGGCATGTGAGGACGCGGCTTGACAGTCTCCAAGGCAGAGCCATTCTGTCCCCATCCTATAGATGGACGTCCTCAAGGAGGAAAATGAAACCGTTCCTCTTCCCATCCACATGGACGATGAAGCAGCAGCTGCTGGCTCTCGTGCCTCTGCCGGCTTTGCTAAGCAGCTGGGCCCTAGCACGGGGGCCCTAGTGCATGGACCACGACCCCACAGATAGCCAGGCCCTCAGAGCTGCGCAGTCCCCTGGGAACTTGCGTGTGCAACTGGGGAGGGAGGGTGTGCAGTCCGCCCTCGGCCCACTCTGAGCGCAGACTGTCTCCTTGAAACTGGCTGTAAACAGAAAGAGGGAGGGGCCGCAGTCGCCTGCCAAGCTGGCAGAAACCCTGTGAGTAATTTACTAGAAGAAAAACAAGTGTGGCCCTTCGTGCGCGCACACACACACAGGAAGCCTGGGCTGCATGGCCCCTGCTGATAAGGCGCCTGCGGGTTTCCCGAGGACCCACACCACCACACCTCTGCGGCTGTGTGAGTGAGCAGGGCACCGGCACAGGAATGCAGGGTACATGGCGATGGTGGGAGCAGACGCCCCCGACGTGACTGGGTGGCTGAGCGAGGCACCGGGTAAGTGGAGACGCAGCCAGAGGGAGCGTGGAGTCAGCTGGCACCGACATGAGTATGCTTAGTGAAACGGAAGTGGAAGCCGGCAGAGAGCAGAGGTGTGTTGCACGAGGCCAGTTGGGGACGGGTCTCTCTGGACACTCAAGGCAGGTGCCGGTCGCTTTCCCTCTGTAAACAGGTGGCAGGGAGAGGCCCTTCCTCCTGCATGTGGCTCCTGAGCTGCCTCACCTCCCCATGGTGAGGATGAAGGTTGGAAAGGAGACACCCAGGAATGTCCCAGTTGCACCATGGGGCGTCCCAGAGGAGGCTGAGTGTGGCCAGACCAGGCAGGTGTAGCTACAGTGGGCTGATGGGATGAACAGGACCGTCTTGGGGTGAAAACATTCACTTGCTGAAATACATCCGCAGCGGCCACAGGACCCTATTGTTTCCTGGCCGGCAGGAGGAAGGGTTTTGACTGAGACTGCTCTGGGAACAGCATCTGGGATGGGGACAGCCCCCCCGCCCTGTGGCCCTTAATCTCCTGAAGGAGGGGACCAGAGGCACTGAGACGAGTGGCCGCCTGGCAGAATGCAGACTGGGCACAGGGGATGGACCCTGGGACTGGGAGGAAACCAGCTGCCAGGGTGGTAGATGATGACATTCCCACTCCTCAGTCACTGACCCCACCACCCTCACCATGGGGACGTGCGTGTGACAGAGTCCCTTTCCCCGGGACGCTCACCGTGGGGACGTGCGTGGGACAGAGTCCCTTTCCCCGGGACGCTCACCGTGGGGATGCGCGTGGGACAGAGTCCCTTTCCCCGGGATGCTCACCGTGGGGACGCGCGTGGGACAGAGTCCCTTTCCCTAGGAGCTGACGGGTGGGAATCGGCAGTCCCTGCATTGCCTTCGTGGCTGTGACTTTCAGCACCTCCAATGCCATCTGACATCATCATGCTGGGGGGCACCCATTAGGTCTGCACACATCCCCACAAATTCACCTTCTTGTGGTTTGCTGTCTGAGGACTGTGCCGAGCACCCAAACACCAGTTCACACGGCTTTCCACCTCCCCATCGTCCTTCTGCCCACCCAGTCCTCTGCTGGGCACGAGACTGGGACACACACAAGGGGCTGGAACTAGGCCCTGCTGTCACTGGGAAGCCAGAGGTGACAGCCCAACCCAGGCTCCAACCCAGGGAGCCCTGGAGGCTGCAGGTGACTCTGCAGGGGCACCGTGGCTGTGAAGCGCATCTGACAGCGCCGCTCCGCCACCCTCCAGTTCCTAGTCTCTGCTGCCTGCCCCCACCACCTGCCTGGCAGACGTCTGGATGACCAGACCTCAGCGGCCGCAGAACAAGCCCTCTCGCTCAGCATCAGCCGGGGGTCCAGCCGCCTTCACTTTGCGGGGAGGCCAGCAAAGGTCAGGGCTGTGGTTTGCAGGCCTTCCACTGGGCCAGGCCTTTTGATGGCTTGGCTCTTTGCTCACAGGGGTGGGGGCCATGGGTGGGGACAGGGCCGCTTCCTCACTTTGTCCTCAGCTCCGGAAAGTAAGGTCTGCTTTGTTTGTCTTTGCCTGAGGCGGTTCCTTTTTTTTTTTTCCTCCCCTGAGAGCAGATGATCTAGAGCAGATGAACTAGACATTAGGTCCCCGAGCAAGGTGATGGTGGCAAGACTCCAGTGTCTGGAGCAGGGCGCCTGTCACACCTTGGCTCTGTCTACCACCGTCTCCTTCAGACACCTGACGCAGGTGATGCAAGCCCAGTGTGTGGCAGGTGCCCTGTGCCCTCCGAGACCCAGGCCTCAGCCCAATCTGCACTGCTGGCTCCCCCTCAGAGTGCCATGACCCTACTCGGGGAGATGGCAGCATTTAGCCCCACCTCCTGTCACAATCAATGTACCTGGCAGCGGACCTCACCACTGCCCAGGACCGACCAGGCTGCAGGAGCCAAGGAGTGCCCCCTAGAGAGAACCCTGCTGCTCTCTGGCCCCCACCCCATGCACTGCAGTCCCCAGGAGCAGCAGCTCCTCCTCATTGGTGCCTGGCAACCGTCCACCCGAGGCACAGGTCGCCAGAGCTCCCGGAAGCCACTCATGGGGCTGCGTGTGCCTCTGGCTCCTCCTTGGTGCCCTGGCACCGACCGGCCATCTGGGTCACCAGAGCTCCAGGAAGCCACTCTGGCTCCCCCCGGCACCTTTACCTTTGTCTTCTCTGAACTGTAGGCTCCTGGGGCACAGCCCCATGGGACCTAGAGGTCACTCAGCACATGTCAACTGAAGAGGGGCAGGGAGGGAGGAACAAGGAGGGGGACCGGGACAGCCACAATCCACCCACATCTCCTGGTGACACCAGTCAAAGGCAGGACAGAGGGATTGCACACACATCCTATAGCATGACTGCTGCCAGCCTTGGTATGTCCAGATGGACACAGAGCGCCAGGCCATGCCCAGCTGCTGAGAAGACCAAAGCCGAGCCCCGGCCCCTCCACGGAGTACCACGGCCACGGGGAAGTGTCCCTCCCGAGGGCCCAGCCCCCAGGCTGTATGGCAGCCTCACTCCTGATCTTCCCCAGAAGGTGGTCTGTCCCTCTGGCCCCACTTTACAGTAAAGAAGCCGCAGGTGAGAAGCGAGGTGAGAGGGTAGTAAGGTAGACAGGGTGACGGTGATGAGGCGATATGCCGGTGACAAGGGCGGCGGGTTGAAGTGCTGGTAAGGTGACAGAACACTGGATGCCGTATCGACGTGGTGGTGAAGTGTTGTGGTGGTGGTGCCGGGGTGATGTGACTTGACAGGGTGGACAGGTGATGGGGTCAGCTCAGACTTGGGCGGGTGTGGTGGCCCCCAGGGGGAGCATGGCCACCAACTGGGCTGTCCTCGTGGGCAGAACAGGCAGGGAGACGCCCTCCCCAGCCCAGGCATGGCTGAGTATCCGCTCCCATGGCAGCTCCCAGAACCAGCGAAATACCCAGGTCCCGACACTGTGAGGCATGAGACTGTCTGTGGCCACTGGCTTTCTCTTCACTGAGACATGAGTTCAGGGAAGCTCCTCCCTAGAGGCCAGCAGGCTCCTGAGGTCTCTGTACGTCTTCCCAAACGTGCTGACGCTCCCCTTCTCTCCGTAGGGCACCGTGGTGCAAGCCCTGGATTTGGCGCCATGTGGGGCTGTGACACGCCCAACGGGACGGCAGGTGGCATGGACCTGCCGCTCTGCCGGGACCTGCCGCTGGCCCTGTGGGTGCTGTCGCTGCTCTACTTGCTGGTGGGCCTCCCACTGGGCCTGGGCTACAATGCGCTGCTGGTGCTGGCCAACGTGCACAGCCGCCATACAATGAGTATGCCTGACGTCTACTTCGTCAACATGGCTACGGCCGGGCTACTCCTTGGCGCCCTGGCGCCCGCCTACCTGCTGGGGCCGGCACACCCGCGCTGGGCACTGTGGCGGCTGAGCACCGAGGCCCAGGTCGCGCTGCTGACCCTGTTCCACGTGTGTGCCCTGGTGACCATGTACTCTGCTGCGCTGCTCAGCCTGGACTGCTACATTGAGCGGGCGCTGCCACGCACCTACATGTCCAGCGTGTACAACACACGGCACGTGTGTGGCTTCGTCTGGGGCGGTGCCCTGCTCACCAGCTTCTCCTCCCTGCTCTTCCACATCTGCAGCCACGTGTCCTCGCGGCTCGCCGAGTGCGCCGAGATGCGCAGCACGGAGGCTGCCGATGCCATCATGGTGCTTGTAGGCTACGTGGTGCCCACCTTGGCTGCCCTCTATGCACTAATGCTCATCGCCCGGCTGCACAAGGAGGACTCACCGCTCAGCCTTGGCGACGCGGGCAGGCTGGACCCGTCTGCACACCGCTTGCTAGGGGTCACTGTGGGTACGCAACTTGCACTCTGGACGCCGTACTACCTGACCCTCTTGGGGCAGGTGCTCATGAGCACGCGGGGGCGGCCCGCAGAGGGGGGGCGCGACGTGGGGGCCTTGCCCCTCGCCCAGGACCTCGCCCGGCTGTTGGCCTTCTGCAGTGGCTCAGTAACACCCCTGCTCTACCGCCACATGGACAGGAGCTTCGCCAGCAAGCTCCAGCGGCTGGCCAAGAGAGTGAGGTGCGGGCCGCGGCGCTGCACCCAGGACCAGGGGGCTGTGCAGCAGGAGGGGGACAGGCTGTGACTGGGGCACCACACTAGGTCATGGCAATGGCAGGCACCAGCACACCAGTAGCACGGGTGCGTCTGCGTGGACTTGTTTTTCCGAAAAAGGCTCATCTAAGCCCAAGGCCGTGTTGCTGAGCATGAAGGCCCAGCAGGCAGACTGCTGTCCCCAAGCCATGTGCGCTCCCTGCGCCCGTCCCTAGGCCCAAGCCTCGGATGTGCTCCGTTCTGGCTTCCTCCACGGGCAGTTGGCAAGCGAGGCGATGAGCCCGAAAGCCAGCATTTGTGCCCTGTTGGTCTGTGTTCAAATACTTGATTTTCCTTCTTTTCCTTTGTTGTAGGCAAACAGCTGTCTGACAGGAAGACGGCTAAGTATTAAATGAAGGAGGAAATGTGGACACATGTGCAGTGGGCTGGGGTGGTGGCCCTGTGTTGCTCCCACGTGGCGTGATGAGCCCAGGCGCCGTCTCTCAGCCTGGTCATCATCGGGCAGCATGGGCCTGGGCTGCTGGGAGCATGCTTGCCACACAAGAAACAGATGCAGGCCATAGCTGGTTGCAGCAGTGGATGACTAAGCTAGTCCAAGCTCGCTCCTCACACGCACACATGAGGCCTGATGCCCTGACCCCTGGTGCCCCCACAGGTACGGGGTATACCCACCCAAGTGCGTCCATAACTGACGGATACAAACTCTCTGGAGAGAAGGCTGCTGGGCCTCAAGGGCCACTTCCCTGGGCCGGCTGCCCGGGAACAGCTGCCCACATGGCTGGGGTGTCCGTAGCACACATGCCAGGAAAGGAAGCCTGGCCCCTTGGTGAGAGGCAGCCACTGTCTACACTGCCGCCAGGCCAGTGTTCGCCCCCAGACACAGCCAGTGTGGGTCTCTGCCTAACGCTTTCTAGTTAAGGTGTGCATAAGCCCACAACCCCAGTCCCCAGTCCTGAATCCCAGAAGGCTCTGAGGTTGAGGGACAGGCCCTTGGTGCCAAACTGGTGGAGGGCCCGCATGGTCTGAGTTGGTGTGGGGATCAATACTGATGCGATTATGGGGTGCAGCCAACACCTCGGGGGGCTGCAATGTACGAATGCACCAGGCTACCGTCTGACAATCTGACACACGTGGCCCCGAGGAGAAGGGAATGCGGCTCTGGGGTGATGGCCCTCCCACGTCACCTGCGCCCTGGTCCCGGGGGCTTCAGCCCCTGAGCCAGTCCCCGCTGCTTTATCATACACGTGAGGCTTCCCTCCAAAGGTAGTAGGCTGAGCCACTCCGCCAGGACACTAGGTGCATGGAGTCTCCGTTCCCCAGTCAAGAGCCCCGCTCGGTGAGATGAGTCCTGCAGATGCCCTGCTAAGGGGTGTGCTGTGCCCCCTGACGTGTTGCTCATCTTCACAGCCGCAGCCTGGCATCCTCCCTCCTCCCCCTCCCCGACTCAGAGCAGGCAGGAAGCTGGCTCAGGAGAAGGATTACTGGGCCAGATGGCGGGGGTGTCTCATTCCAGCAGCTCTCACTTGAGGACTCGTGTTTGCTGAGACATGGTGGTGGTAACCCCCCAACTCCATTCCAGACAGTGCATGGGAAGAGCCTGTGAGGCCCAAGTGGACGGCTGCGTGACGGCCTTTAATTCTCCTCTTTAGCAGGGCCCTGACCCTGGCCAGGGGAGGCTGCCGGCTTACCAGGAAGCCACCGCTGCCCTGGGGAAAATACGGTGGGGGCGGGGCTCCACAGCCGTTCCACACAAAACATCCTTTTCTTGCCACTTCCTGCCACTTTGTGCTCTGGACAGAGAGCCCCAGGAGAGTGCAGGCTCCTGGCAACAGAGCGGAATTCCTCACCCAAACCCACTCTCCCCAGCGGAGGCTGCCTGACGTCACAGGAGCGACAGGGCCGTGTGCTGGCCGTGATGGGCTGGGTGACAGTTCCACGGTAACTCCCCCAGCCCCATGTCCCAGGAAGGGCATGGCCGGCTGCAGGCGCACACAGGGTCAGCTTCGGGTATGGCCTACACTGCTTCCAAAGTGTCTGCGCCATGGATGTGCCACCAGCAGGTGTCCTCACAGATCGAAAAGCACTGTAAGTTTTTTGCCAGTCTGGCAGGAATGAGGGCTGAGTGGCTTTCCCCTTTGTACAGATTTCTTACAAAGTTTCAACTCAACTTCCTCTTCACAAAGTGCCTCTCCAGGGCTTCCGCCCATTTGTCTACGTGATCTAAAGTCGGCCTAGGTTTACTGTGGACACACATCCTTGGGGCTGGCTCCTCACCTACGTTACCCTCACTGCTCTTCCCCTGGTGACAAGAGGTGCGGCCCCAGCCATGGAACAGGGAGGTCAGGCAGGTTTTGTGTAAAGTCTCTTGAGAAGAGACACCTCAGTAAGTGATCTTCTTGCTCCATTTCTGTCAGCCACGCAGAAAACTGACAGCACGAGTGAGGATGGTTTAACTGCAGAGCAGCAACTATTTCTAGAACTTGATGCCTGAAGCAACACACATGCACACGTGCGCATGCGCACATGCACTGATGTGCACATATGCACAATGCACGTTTGCATGCAGAGGCGTGCCTGTAGATGCACATATACATGCACTGGCACACATGTCCACAGACATGCACACACAGATATGCACATGGCTGCACACCTGCATGTCTGTGCACATGTGTACCTACATAGAGAAACATGCCCTCCCACACAGGAATGCACATGCACAGACATGCACCTGCACACACAGACATGCCCACAGATGAACACATGCATGGGCATGCACAAATGCACAGACATGCACCTACACACAAAGACATGCCCACAGATGCACACATGTGCACCTGCACACACAGAAAAACATGCCCAAAGATGTACATGTGCATGCATATACACACATGCACTGGCACACAGGCATCATGCTAAAGAAGCATCAAGACACAAATAAGCACGTATGATGGGCCCTGTGACTGATGTTCTGGAGCAGGATGATGAGCCAGCAGGGCTGGAAAGCAGACGGGTGATCACATGGGGGGGGTCACAGAGAACTTTCTAGAAAGGCTTGTCTCAGCAGAATGCCAGTTATACAGGCATGTGCGCCTGACAGCTGACATATGCATCAGCTCACCCTATGACCCCTGGCCAGAGGCTGTCTGGGCCCCTCCCCAGTGTCACTGTGGAGCCCAGGCACAAAATACGGGCAGAACATGGCACACGGGACCACCTGCCTGTCCCACAGGCTAACGCGGCGGCTGGCTCAGGAGTGCCGCCTGGCAGCCGTCTGCAGGCCTGCACACCCAGGCAGCCCAGCCTCATGGCCGGGGGTCCCGATGACCGGAAGACACCCCTCCAGAGTGACGACTGAGAAGACAAGGGCATGGCGGCCAGGTAGCCCTGACGGTGTTTGCAGGGGAGAACTCAGCCAGTCGCATTAGCCAGCTTAGCTGACACTTCCTGCGGACAGCTCTGAGTGGCAGGCCAACTTCTGAGGGACCCAAGAGCCGGCCGGTTGTTCCTGAGAACACCGCAAACACCTGCAGATCTCCCGAAGTCCAGAGAGGAGGTTTACGGGAGAGCAGTTTCTCAGGAATGGGCACAGAAGCAGAGAGGACGGGGCTGGGGCGGGCTCTGGCCCCTGGGGACCAGTTCTGCAGGACCCGGTGCCAGAGCCGCACACAGGCAGGGACCTTAGGGAGGGATGCTCCACTCAAACAGAACCCCTCCAATTGTCCCAGCGCCAGAAGCACCATCATGGGAGATCCTTTCTGCCAGCTCCCCACGTTGGCTCCAAGGGGCCCGGAGGCTGGACTCAGGCAAACCGCATGGGGGAAAGGAGCCCTGAGGCTCCACACTCTGACGGCGCGTGCCAAGGCCTGGCCACATCCTGACCCTCATCACTGCCATCCTGAGGCCTCAGCCCTGAAACCAGCCCGCGGTCCCAGCACCTTGGACCACTCCCTGTCCCCACCAGGCACTGGCCCAGCCCTTGTCCACCGTTCCCTTCTGGGTTTAGCTTTTGTCCACACAGAGGCCCCCCCAGTAACAGACAACATTCCAAGGTCCCCGCTTAAGGGATGCCCTGTGACCCTGGTGCCTTCTCCACACATCACACACAGGACACAGCCCCAACCCCTCATTTGCCAAGGAGAATAACAACAGACCTGTCAGCGGCCCACAGGGGCTAGCAGGTGAGGCAGTGGATGGCAGCTAAAGTGATGCCTGGCAGAAAAGCAGTGCCCAGTGCTGACGGCAGGCGGAGGCTGGATGTGGGGGTGGCAGTGTGGAAATGACCTGAGACTTTCTTCTCAGATTGTCCAAGCACCCTGAGAACTGGCCAAGAGTCTGTCCCACACGGTGAGTCAAAGCTGGCTTTGGCCTCAGAGGATCTAGGGAAGTCGGGTGATTCCCCTTCTCAGGGCTGGCTCCATCCCCACCTGGGGAGCCTCCCACGGAGACCTGCAGAGCACTGGGATGCAGGCACCCAGCCAGCCACGCTCCCTTTCCCTAGCCGACACTCAGCAGCGGGACAGGGAGGGAGGCAGCAGATGGGGGGCTCTGCCACTGCCAGCCACACGTGCACGTGGAGAGCCCTGGAAGCCCCTTGCAGCTCAGGGCACAGGCTGCCCCCTTCTCGCTAGTCGCTGCTCGACACAGTGCCTCCCTGGAAAGCGCACAGGAGGAGCTGGGGAGTGGCAGGGGACGAGACTTCCTGCACAAGTTCCCAAGGCAGTGGGGTACTTCCCCTCACTTACTATCTCTCCCTCTGCAGGTGGGCTTCAGTCCTATACAAACCCACCTTTCTCACCTAGCCCCCAGACTGGGGGAGGGGAGCTGCCAACACCGTGGGGGGTGGGCCCAGGGGGCGGCAGCTTGATGGGGTACAGCAGTGGCACAATATACCCTGAAACATCCCTTCCCTGGGGCTCTGGGTCTCGTGCCAGCCCCCCAGCTATGTTCTGGTCTCTAGGGGCCGACAGGGCAGGGGCAGGCCTGTCTTTTCACACAAGGACTCCGCGTCTGGGAGGGTGGGTGGCCTGCAGG